CTCCTACTCCGAGCCAGAACTCGAAATTGAGCTCGCAATTGAGAGCTCACACTCTAAGCTAGAACTTGGAATTGAGCTTCGGCGTAGGACCTAGGCTCGAGTTCTAGCTCAGCTTAGAACTGAGCTTCGGCTTACACTAGATCCTGTGATTGAGAGAGCTATAGTAGCTACTCAACGAGCAAGGATTTCTATGGTGCAGAAGTATACAAAGAAGCATGATATTCAGCACTTTAATATAGGAGCAATAGTCTCTATAAAGGTTCCTCGAGAGGATAGAACCTCAACTGATAATAAGAGGCTATTTGCAAGAATTCTAGAAGAGCCTTACCCTCATAGGTATCGGATTCTTACAGCTTCTGGTATTATATAACGCCTTATTCCTACTAAATCACTTGGAGTTGTAGAGTGAGCTCTACGGGGTGATATAGTAATTCCTACTTCTACTAAGGAAGTAGGCCTAGGGCTTGCAGCTAGAGAGGCTTCTACAAGTGCTTAGGTTGGAATATCCTGTCAGTGCAAAGGGCTGTGTAGTACGAAGAGGTGTAGGTGTTATAAGGAAGCAAAGGAGTGTAGTGTAGTGTACACTGCCATAACGATGACCACGACTGTGGCAATTTATCAGGTCTTACTACTCGTACAGAAATAGCTTTAGTTAAGAGGCTAAAGTGGAAGCGGGCTAGAGTAGAGTAGGTAATTTAATTCAATTTAATATACTATTCTACTATTCTACGTATAGGTTGGTGGTTGGGCCGGCCGAACCACCAACCCAAAAGTTAGTGGTTGGGCCGGCCAGTTGGCTAACTAGAATAGTTGGTGGTTAGGCCGGAACATATGTCCTGGTCGTTTGTGAAATACGTTAGTTATTGTTCGATGTTAACGAAACTGTTGTCGTGACGACCATAGTTCCCCTTGTCATGTGCCTGTTGCCTAAACAAACTCTCTATATACCTGGTGACTTCTCATTCAGACAATACAACACAAACCACTATCGAGCCGTGCAGCCAGTCTCAAGACTCCATATCTATTGCCACTTCTGCCACGTCCTGCTTATTGTCTTCGAGTCCTTGATCGCGCCCCAACACGCCATGGATCTGTCCGCCCCCGCGGTTGCCGAAGTAGAGCTCAGCGAAGCAGCGGAGGTTGTGGAGAAGAAAGCTCAAATCCTCGCTGACCATATCCGGAAAAGCAAACACTTCATCGCATTCACTGGAGCCGGAGTGTCCACATCTGCTTGTACGCTTATCTTTCTAATATTTATTTATCTGTGGCCGCGCACTAACTTACCTTTCTCGTATAGGTATACCAGACTTTCGCGGTTCTGAGGGCCAATGGACTCTGCGAGCACAAGGAAGACAACGATCAGCGAAAGACAAAGCTGTTAGTACATTGCAAGCTGTGCCAACGCAAACACACATGGCGCTAGTGGAATTGCAGAATAGGGGTATTTTAAAGTATCTTGTCAGTCAGAATTGCGATGGGTTACACCGGAGGAGTGGAATTTTGCCAGTGAGTTTTGCTGTTTATACCACCTGTCAAGTAGGGAGATGGGAGAATGCCATGTTCGATTTGCTGATATCGATGTCATAGGACAACATATCCGAGCTCCACGGCAACAGTAACCGTGAATCCTCCAGGTCCTGTGGAAAAGAATACATTCGAGACTTCCGTGCCGCCGCACCGCCGGACCAGACGTCGCTGCTTGGCCATCGCACCGGTCGGAAATGTGCAATCTGCAGCGGAGTTTTGCTAGACAGCATCATCAACTTCGGCGAAAACCTCCCCATTGTCGCGTTACAACGCGCCTTCGAAGAAGCTCAGAAAGCAGATCTCTGCCTTGTGCTTGGCTCATCGCTCACGGTCAGCCCAGCCAATGAGGTACCTGAAGTTGCTGTTACGGGAAAGAGAAATGGGGAAGGTAAGGTTAAGGGAAAGTCGGGGAAGCGAAGAGGAAAGCTGGCAATTTGTAATTTGCAGAGTACAGAATTGGATGGGATTGCGGATAGAGCGATAAGGGTGAGGGCAAAGACGGATGATTTCATGGTTAAGGTGATGGAGAAACTTGGTATCGACATCCCGGAGTTTGTCTTGAGGAGGAGGATGGTTGTAGAGCTGAAATGTGGGGAGAGCAGACAAGAGTTGAAGGTTCGTGGTGTCGACATAGATGATACACCTGCTTCGTTTCTGCAGAGTGTAAGGTTGGAACACAACAGGCGGGTACTGCGAACTGAGCCATTCGTTATCACTTTTCGAGGAGAGATGGAGAAGGCTGAGTTGAAGTTGGAACTAGAGTTTATGGGGCATTATGGAGAGCCGAGTTTGATTCTAGACGTGGCTGGTGATTTCGTAGGGAATGAGAGTGGCCAAATGGTGTATTTGCTCGAATATAATCCAAGGATAGGGGAGTGGAATGTAGAGAGTAAGAGTGGGCTAGTCATTAGCAATGGAAGAGTAGAGAGGAAAGAAGGCCCAGAAGTTATTATAATTGAGGATGATAGGGTGATGGAATTGTAAGGATGTCTCAGGATAATTGCTAAAGAGTTACTGAAGGGTTTTAAAATAGCGATCTCTGAAGTCAGCATCTCGTTGTTCGACGACGTAGGACCTTGATGTTCCCTAGCAGCTGTCTTAGAGATTCCGATAGAGGGCCTAGATTAGGTTGTTCCTAGGAATGGTAGTATAGAAGCTCGAAGTCCAACAAGCTAACGGTATGAATGGCAACGCCTGCGCTTCTCGCACTCTAAATGGCGCTCGAGGCGACCTGTAGATGGTAAAACTCTTCTTGTATGATCATGTCTGAGGTCAACAGCCAGCCTTCATCCTCCAGCACCTCACAGAAGGACAATCCCACCTCCTGCCACAGAGGAAGTGTGGAGTTCTCACTCTGTGCCCAGAGGGAAGCACGTGAGCCGCGCCTTCCAATCTTCACTGTTGGGGGAAACCGACATTCCCGTGGGATACGGCAGGCTTTTACAGCCATATACTCGAGTAGTTCCTTTAGTCACTACGAGGGAAGCAGCTGTCCCACAAGACTAATATGTAGCCACTACGCGCGTGTTTGTTTCCCACTGACTGCTCACTAACCCCGAAAACAGGCCTAAGATTTATACCGTAATCCAAGGCCATACTTGGCGTTTCCAGTTCGGGTGAACGCTGCTCGAAAGTATTTCTCATAGCTCCGTCCTAAGTCTTCTATCCCCGCAATGCCACATTTGAACGAATACGTTCTTAGTTTGGGTATAGCGTAAGCAAGTCCTTGTCTAGTGAAATGAAGCCCCTAATTGGACGCTTGCGGCTTGGGGGATTTCAGGAAGACAGAGTTGATGCGAGAAATTTAACCTTAATTTTATCCTACGCCAGGCGTCCGGATCGACAAAGCATGGGCGAACTTAGGCAGCTTTACTGTATAAAAATACCAGAACTACACCCCACACTACTTGCGAAAAATCAGCTAGGCGGGCTGCGTTTGAATCGGACCAAGCGAACAATTTAGGTATACGCATAACTTAGTATCTGGGTCTGCAACAAAGGCGAACAATTCTTGCGAACAATTCTCACGAATAATTTACGCGACCACATCGGACTATTGACCTCCACTTTCGCCAGGCTGCCGACCCTCCTTTCTAGCTTTACTAGTGGAGCCCCATATCGAGCGCTACTAAGCTTGGAATAAGATCTACGACCTATTTGTCTAGTGCTTGTCACTAACTCCAGTAAATTATGGCCAAGGATGTATCATTCTCCATCCACAGGCTTTTTGGTTGCCCAACACCAGAATAATGTTGCTAAACATGGTGGGGTGGACAGAGGATGTCTGAAGTACCACGAAAAACCCTTCCGGGTTACATTCTTTGTTTCGACACTATATAATCAACACCCCAACTACGATTCCGAATTGCGTTGACCAGAAGGAATTGCTTTAACTCAATCAACATGGACAAATACGCATTTCCATGCGAACCACTGGCCAGTCCGGATGCTGTGGTGGCCGAGGCAAACTATCGCTTTACACTTCTGGGTGGCAATGTGATTCGCTATGAATGGTCCTCCGACGGCCAATTCGAGGACCGCGCCTCAACCTTTGCCATGAATAGAAGGTTTCCGGTACCCAATCATGAGATTCGAGATGTGGATGATCAGCTGGATATTATCACGCCTTCGTTTCATCTCACTTACGACAAACAACGATTTAGTCCCAGCGGCCTCATGGTCACCTTCAACAGCAAAGTCACACTGTGGGGATCGGAGTGGAGGTACGGCAGTGACCCTGAGAACAATCTCGGCGGTACAGCACGAACATTAGATGAGGTAGATGGCCGATGCGACCTAGGTGCGGGAATTATCTCAAGGTCAGGTTTTGCTAGCTTGGATGACAGCAACTCCATGCTCTTCGATGGAAAAGGTTTTGTTGCAACTCGGCAGCCGGGTGATCGCATTGATGGGTATTTGTTCTACTACGGCCACGATTTCAAGGGAGCCATGAGATCCTTCTATGCCATCTCTGGTGACCAACCCCAGCTGCCAAGATGGGCGCTCGGGAATTGGTGGAGTCGCTACCATGCGTACAGCGCAGATGAGTATATCAGTTTGATGGACAAATTCACCAATCGAGGAATTCCTCTCTCGGTAGCTGTGATTGACATGGACTGGCATCTTGTTGATGATGAACGAGTTCCTCATACCGGATGGACGGGATACACTTGGAATAAAACCCTTTTCCCAGACCCATCCGAATTTGGCAAAGCATTACACAACCGTAAACTCAAGATTACGTTGAACGATCACCCGCATGCTGGCGTGCATCACCACGAGGACCTCTACGAAGAAATGGCACTCGCTTTGAATCACGATACCTCGAAGAAAGCTCCAATCTTGTTCAACTCCACATGTCCCAAATTCATGGACGCCTACCTGAACATACTCCATCGGGGCATTGAAAATATCGCCTGCGATTTCTGGTGGATCGACTGGCAACAAGGAGCTAGCTCCCGCGTACCAGGACTTGATCCCCTCTGGTTGTTGAACCATTTTCATTTCCTTGACAGTGCGCACACGAAGACTATAGATCAACCTCTGATATTTTCCCGCTACGCTGGCCCTGGAAGCCACAGGTACCCAGTAGGATTTTCTGGGGACACCATTACTAGCTGGGCGACTTTCGAGTTTCAGCCAGAATTTACTGCCACTGCCTCGAACATAGGGTACGGCTGGTGGAGCCACGATTTAGGTGGACATATGAAGGGCGAGCGAGATGACGAATTGGTCACTCGGTGGGTTCAGTTTGGGGCATTTTCGCCGATTCTACGACTCCATTCCTCGAACAGCCCCTGGACATCGAAGGAGCCGTGGTCGTACCACAAGGAAAGCGAAACCATCATTCAGCACTTCATGCAGTTCCGTCACCGCCTCGTGCCTTATCTATACACAGTGAACGCTGAAACCGCCGCTTCTCACCAACCATTAATTCAACCTATGTACTGGAGCTTCCCTTCACGAGACGTTGCCTACGAGGTCCCCAACCAATATTATTTTGGTCCACATCTGATTGTGGCACCAATTGTTAAGCCGCGGGACAGAAGAACGGGCCAAGGCATGGTCAAGGGCTGGATCCCTCCTCATAGACATGTCGATATTTTCACTGGCATTGTCTATGATGGCGATAGAGAGCTCAACATGTATCGTTCTCTAGAACAAATACCTGTCTTGGCCCCCGAAGGTGCCATCATCCCCCTAGATGGGAAGCTCGTGCCTGATAACGGATGTGGAAACCCCGAAAATTTCGAGGTCCTCGTGGTTGTTGGTCGAGACGGCGAGTTCACTATTATTGAGGACGCTCGAGATGATATCGTGAAGCCAGAAACCGGGATAGTTGACCAAGAACCGCGCACTGCCAAAATTCAGTATAAGCAGGATTCTGGGCAGCTTAAGGCAACCATCAAGGGAGGTGCATGGTCCTTTAGGTTTCTCTCGATGACCGAGATACCCTCATCTTTGAAGGTCACCGTCAATGGTTCCGACATAAGTGATGCAGATATCATGGTCGAGAACTATCCTCTCGTCCCAAGTATGGTTGTGACATTCCAACCACTCGCCGACGGCGAGAACGAGTTGATTATCGACATGGGTCCCTCTCCACAACTGAGTGTGCTGGATCATTCCAGCCGTATCAGTGACCTGCTTCGGAATTACCAAACGGAGTTTGAGATTAAAGACAGAATATGGGCTCTCGTCGGCCAACCTGACCGCCCTGCCACTGTCAAGATAGGAGGACTTTTGAGCATAGGTATTGATGAAGCCTTGACCGGGCCCATAGCAGAGTTGATGTGCTCGGACAGCCGAAGCGCTTGATTCTGTCTGGTGCCTGGAACAAGTAGTCTCTGATCTATCTATGGCTATGGTCGGTGTTTCGGAATCCATTTCACTTTAATTCAAGTTGGCATTACGAAGGATACTCACATGAGTTATTCACTATAGAAGGAGGAACAAAATTCTTGTCGTATTTAGATCTAATGAAGCAAATTGGTCATGTATGACATGATATGCATGATTGTTATATTCGAGAGGAGTTCACTTCATGGATAATGGAGATGTGACGATGTATGTGTTGAATTAACTCAGTTCTCGGGTGTAAGCTCAGGACGATATCTCAAGAACAAGAGGACCTGAGAGAATCCGGAAAGATCCATGGGTTTATGATAGAATCCTCCATACGTTAGCTATCATGTCCAACGAGGCCTTGTTTTATGCTCTATATATTATGAGAAATCCTTTTTGTTTTTGCAAACTATAAGTCTTTCTGGCTTAGAGCAAAGTAGCCGTCATGGCTGCAAAGGCGAACGAGTAAATTAGTGGCAAGCCTGCATGGGAAGCTCAATCAAGTCTCACAGAGTGACAAAAACCGCTCATTACGGACCTACGAATAAGTGAAAAGTTGTAGATTTCTCACTCCGTGCCCGAGAATAACCTCTAGACCAGCTCAGGAGTAGAACTCCGTAGTACGTAGAGTAATTACAGGTGATATATTAACAAAAGATGCATACAAATAGACCCTACTCGTGATGATGGCGAAATTATCATTTCCTATTCTACAGAACCTACCAGCACAGCCTCACAGCAGTAGACCCTACATCAAATCACCACCCCCTGTGATGAACTATTTCAAGGGGCCCCTGTAGTTCGATGTTGCAGACCAAACACATCCTACGCACAATATGGCATGGCTACAATCTGGCGGTTAGAAAGAGCGAAATATCGAAAAAATTGGGAATACTAGTCACTCTTGGTATTGGTTCTGGACTTAAGTTAACAGCCAAGACCAATTTTACTCTCGGCGTCATACCGAGCCAGGATGGATGTCCACGAGGCAAGTAACAGGGAACCCTACCCCGCCGATAGTTTGCACGTAGTTGGCTTGTCTAGTGCTTGCTCTAGCATAAGCCTGGGGCACGGCCGTTGATTCGGTCCGTTTCAGGAGGCATGTGAATCTGAGTTTGGGCTCGTGTGAGTGCTAATGTAGTATACTGGCTTGAATATCCGGTTTACAAGTACCAGGTGGAGCTAGAATGCCTCGCCGAAAATATTCGCTAAAATTTCAAAGCCGTAGCCCTAAATCTGTAACGTACTGCCGAAATTATTTGGCAACTCTCATCATTGGCAACGCTAACTTAGGTCTTGGACTAGTGTACTTGGGCTGGAGTTTATCAACTAATGGTGGAGTAGACCCCCCGAGCTCGGAGAAATCCCCAGACTAACCTTAAGACCATGCCAACAGCGTGGTGCCCCACTTCCCCACGACAGGTCAAAGGGGAAGTTGGAGGATCTGGAGTCTGCCCCAAGTCGTAAACTAACTTAAGTTACCTTGACATAACTTACAGGGGGAAGAAATTCCACGACTTGAATGGCAAAATTATCACAAAGTGGCATATCTATATAAACTCATGGTCTGCCCAGTCAACATGATTCAACTGTTCAATACCTTTCACTCCTATCATTTTCCTTGGGGTAACATACAACCGTCATGGATTCGAAAGACTCTAAACCAGACACAGGTGCAGAGCATCAAGAATACTCTTCGCCTGTAGTCTCAACCTCTCCGAACAACATGTCACCAGAACAGCCGGTCTCGACGACGACTAAAGATGGTGGACCTCATAAATCAGTGCCCGGTGTCTCCTTGCTTCGCGACCTGGCGCTCGACGCAGAGGTAGCGGACACTATGCAAAAGAATATGAGCATTATGGAGGCCGTCAGGAAATACCCCAAGGCGATCGCCTACTCCATGATTCTATCCCTATGCATTATCATGGAAGGCTATGACACGTCTCTTATTGGCAGCTTTTTCGCTCTCCCGCAATTTCGAAAGAGGTTTGGAGTTGAGCTTGCCAATGGCGATTACCAGGTGACGGCGAGCTGGATGTCAGGGCTCCAAAATGGAACGCAGGTCGGTCAGATTTGTGGCCTGATGATCGCAGGTATTCTGGCGGATCGTTTTGGCTACAAGAAAACCATTATCGGGGCGCTCTTCCTCACAATCGCCTTCATATTCATATTCTTCTTTGCACAGAACATCGCCATGCTGTTCGCAGGAGGAGTTCTCTGCGGCTTGCCTTGGGGAGCATTCCAGATCCTCACGACCACCTATGCCGCTGATGTGGCTCCGATCCAACTGCGACCCATCTTAACCACCTATGTCAACATGTGCTGGGTAATTGGTCAGTTGATCAGCACTGGCACTCTTCGAGCTCTCCTGCACCGCTCCGACGACTGGGCATGGCGCATACCGTATGCCATACAATGGGCGTTCCCACCTCCAATCATACTCGGCGTGCTGTTTGCACCCGAGAGTCCCACATGGCTGGTCAAGAAAGGGCGACTCGAAGAAGCTCGAAAGGCACTGCGTGGTCTGACTAGCTCTGAGGTTGACGATGAGGAAATCTCTCAGACCGTGGCCATGATCGCGCACACGAACGAGCTAGAAATGCAGCTCCAAGAAGGCACGTCGTATCTCGATTGTCTCCGTGGACCCAATCTCCGCCGGACTGAAATTGCCAGCGTCGTCTGGATGACGCAGGTATTATGTGGTATCTGGTTCGGTGGCAACATAACATACTTCTTGCAACAGGCCGGCTTCAACCCCGACAAGTCGTTCGACTTCGGTCTCGGCACTAATGGCATTGCTCTAGCTGGGACAATTGCATCTTGGTTTATCATGCCGCGTATTGGTCGACGCACATTATACCTCGTCGGATTGAGTGTTATGTTCACCATCCTCGTGATTGTCGGCATCCTGGGGATCCCGGCCCCTCAACCCTGGATCGGATGGACTTCGGGCGGCTTTATGCTGGTTTTTGTTGCTACCTACGGTATGACAGTGGGACCGGTTTGTTACTGTTTAGTTTCCGAGATTCCATCGACACGGCTGCGAATCAAGAGTGTTGTCCTTGCTCGCAATGCCTATAATATTGCGAGCATCGTGGCCAACTTCCTCAACCCACCCATTCTCAACCCAAGTGCATGGAACCTACGTGGAAAGGGCGGCTTCGTCTGGTGCGGGTTCTGTTTGTCTGCACTGATCTGGTCCTATTTCCGCCTTCCTGAGCCCAAGGGCCTGTCGGCCGCGGAATTAGATATACTCTTCGAAGATGGCGTCAGCGCTCGCAATTTCCGCAAGGTGCAGGTAGACGTGTTTGCAAGGGGAAATATGAAAGGGGAAGAGGAGGATGCACGAGTGGCAGATGCGGTACCGGTAACGAGCGAGAAAGTGTGAACACATTATCATGGATGGGAGTGAAATGCGGTGACATCTCCAAGGAACTTTGTAACTTAGTTGATAACTTATCCTATACGCACAGAACCGCGTGCCTTACATATTGAAGAATTTTCAGTTAATTACCTGTGGTAAAACAAGTGTCCAGCGAGTTGGTAACCCTCCCTCTTAGCTAGAATGTCCCACCTGCCCAGCGGTTCTGGGGGGAAACCGGAGTAAAGTTCTACTCGAGTCCCGTGCAGCTTAAAAGTCTGTCGCCAAGCACGTGCGCAGAAGGCCGAAGGCAGTTATGAATAGTTATGAACGATCCAAGCCAACCATACCTATCCTGAAGCTGGACTGAGTGAGTTTATGCGCACGTCCGAGCCAAGCGACAGACTTTTCGGTGGTACTCATACTTGAGTACCGAGGCGCGTACTAGGGTAGCACGCGGTTGATGGTGCTCTAGTGTTTCCCCCTCGTCCCTGGTGGAATCCCCGAATCCCCGCATCCCCACACTTGGTAGTGCTGCACTGTACAGTAAGTTACTCTGGAGGAATCAACTGCCGCCTCTTCTTCTCCCTCTTTTCACTCTTCTTCAACCTGCGTTGCCTGTGTGCACACCCCGATGAGATCCATAACTCCCTGTGACGGTTGCGCTCTGCGACGTGTACGATGCCGTGGTGGACACCCATGTGCCGAGTGCCAGCGACGCTCCCTGACCTGCACTTTTCTGCGCATCCCCAAAAAGAGGGGCCCGAAAGGTCCTCGACTAGCCACCGGCTGCAGGATCAAGACATTTCAGAAAGATCTCGAGAAGGCTAATCCGCCTAGTCGTGATCTACACCACACGTCGACGTTGACCCATAAGCAACTTGCAGATGCTTGCCCGGATCTGCCCACACAACCGCTCGCTCCACCACCAGCACCCTGCTTGCATCACATCCCCCTTAGTTCCTACCTCGAGTTCTTGGAAATCTTCCGTCACCGTCTCTACCCAGTCTGGCCTATCGTATCTTATGACGATCTCATCTCACGCCTGAGAGCTGACAACCAAGATTTCGAAGCGTATGCGTTGGCTGGTGCGCTGTGTGCCGCCGTCATCTCCCAGCTCCGGTTGCCTGAGCATGCCGCGTCGTTCCTTCCCATCTCCTCGCGCCACTTTCAGATTGAGTCTGAGCGATTGAGAATTCTTTTCGACTATCGCGACCATTATTCTATAGCGTCGCTATTGACCTCGTTTTTCATCCACGTCTATTTCGCCAATACCAACAAGCTACAAACAGCTGGGCTCTACTTGCGAGAAGCAATTGCCTACGCGCACGGCCTCGAACTGCATCGGCCAGAAACATTTGCGTCTCTTACTGCTATCAGTGAGCACCAACTAAGGCTCCGTGTTTACTGGATTCTGTTTATCTCGGAGAGGTCGGCAGCCCTCTTGCTCGGCGTATTCGCGCGTTGCTAACTTGCCTTTTAGGACTTTCTGCGTACAGAATGGTTTACCCGCCATATTAAAAGTGATTGATGAACTGCCTACGCCTGATCTCGATACGCGTTACGACAGCACCCCACTGCCGGCATTTCTCGCCCTCACTCGCCTATTCCTCTATCTTAAAAGCCGCTTCATCACGCATCCATTATCTCACCAAGGTGCGATTGTTTCTGAAGACCAGAAAAACGAGGTTTCTGCCTTTCAGCACAATCTCCGGCTCAAAGCCGATAGAAGAAGTCTCAACGAGATGCAATACGTGGATATACTCGCCACGCGTAACTGGATTCGAACCCTCCTTTGGCAATATTCGATTGTAAACTTCCCCGTGTCTTGCCATGCTGACGATGACGCATTTTCCGCATTACTTCCTGCCTCGATCGCTAAGGATATGCTTTCAGTCTTTACCACGGTGTCGAATTCGTCGATTCGTGCCCATGGATATGGAATGGTAAGTTAGCCCCGTATTTATATACAGCCTTGAAGACCCTCACTAATTAAGGAATTGCAGGAGCTCAAGATCTTCCGGATGGCGGATTCGCTCTTAGACGTTCTCCTGTGCGTACCTTCGGCAACTGAAACTCATGGCATGCTGGTGGGATCACGGGAAGCCCTACATTCACTAGAGCATGTACTCTTAAATGTTGGGGGACCAAATTCCACGCTTCTGGAAACATTGCGGCGGCGAATGGCAGAATCAGATCTTCCCATCTCTCCTTTTCGATGGCTTGACATCCCAATTTTCGAATCTAACCAAGATGATCAAGTACAAAAACCATCTGAGTTACATGAGTTATTAGATCTAACGGCCCTAGTTCCGAGGATTTTGCAAGGGAAAATGGCAGCCGAGGTGGTGGACATTGCATAATTGTAGTGATCCCTTGGCAAAACACAAATATCGCGAAAGCGTCAAAATCCAATTATCACATCGGCATTAAAAGTCGAGGACTCCAGGAAATCAAACCCCTAGATACTTATGGACTTATGATCAAGTCCGAAACGTCAAGGAGATCCTTGGACTGTCGCAAGGTGATGCTTCTCGGAAGCATCTCACTACAGCCCTGCACAACCGCGCAGTCATGTCTCTTCACCCCGTCATTATCTGTATCAACGATCGCCTGATTATGGCCAGGCGGATAGATGAATGGATGAATGGAAGACTAAAATCTGAAATCACAGCTACTCAGGGGCGAGGCGGGGTGCGATTATTGCTGGACGACGGTGACATTTAGAGGTCGAGGGCGAACTACTACAGTACCATGCTGGGTTCTGGGGTTGAGATTGGTCTGGGTTATAGCAACGTCTGTGTTATAAATTTGGCGTTATGATATAGACACTTACACTCCACCACCTAGGATATATGTTGGAACGAAGCTAGAGACTATAGTGGTAACCATCGCATCTCTATCACTCATATCCTACTATGGTAGAGACCTGCAAGCCTCTATGACCATAGACTCGAGAGAATTGGGCATCGCGTCTGCTCTGCCATACACAAGCTTGCATAACACCTGGACGATAGTCTCAATCGTGCCAGTGAATATGACGTGGAATCTGAGCCGCTTACCCCCGTGAGGGTATTCTTCGGGTAAGGCGAGGGTGGGCAGGGGGATGATCAGAGTGAGTAAGATTAAGCATGTCAGTTTGGTGGTGACACTAAATAGGCCAGGGTTGCCTTCCTTATATAGCCACCATCGGTTGTGCCGCTGGACCTGCATTCGTCAATATGTTTGCGAACGAATGCGTGGTAGGGGAATATGAGGGAGTGGCTCTCGATTAGCCTTACAAGTGTTGATTCCAGCTGTTTAGGTAGTAGACAAGGTTCCTCCGTCTCGTATCCATTCGATTAGATGCTCACTGCCTACATATGTCGGTAGTTCTTTGAAGTGTAGTATACGAGAAGCAGAGGAATGTCATGGGGGATGTTTCGTTCGGAAACTGTGGCAGGATGCTATAGTATATGGGTCAGCTGGGGTGAGATACGAGGACTGTCTTGTCATTGCGCCAATAATACCTTATAGTGGAGCGAAGATCTCAACATTATTCACACCGAATCTAGTGGCATGCACAGAAGCGTTCGTATACGGTGTCTCACCTAAACAGGTTAAGACATGCTATACGGGTTTAGCAACCACATGACACTATAATTAGTAAGATCTACATATATTACATCATATTATATCTTCTACTATATGTTCTATTTATTTATAAGTTGGCTAAAAAAGGTACCAACCATAGTTCAACCATAGGTTATAAAGGCAGCCGTTGAGCCAACATTTAAGTTATACAACAGCGCTACAACGCCCCTAATATATATTTCTACAGAAGTTAAAGCATAACCCTATCGCCATTATGCATTTATCCCAGATACTTAGCCTTGCAGCCCTCGCCTCTGTTATATCAGCCATAACTGGTAAGCCTTGGATTCAAATATAGCACAACTCTCTATCAGGAGGTTATTGCACCAAGACAGAAGGTTTTCTAACAAATATTGGTGGCCTCTAGTCTCCTACGATAATGGCTATGACAACCGCGCGCGCTCGCTCACCGCAGTCTCCTGCTCCGATGGACCAAACGGCCTCATCACCCGCAAGCACTGGAAAACGCAGGGCGACATTCCCACCCCATATATCGGCGGTGCGCAGGCCATCGCAGGATGGAACTCTGCCAATTGTGGTACCTGCTGGAGACTCGACTACAAGGGCAGGAGCATCAATGTGCTCGCCATCGACCACACCGACGCCGGCTTCAACATCGCACAGGGAGCCATGAATGCGCTTACAAATAACCAGGCGGTTCAATTAGGTAGAATAGATGCACAAGCAACACAGATTGATGCCAAAATCTGCGGCATGTGAGATGGATGGAGCATTGAGTCTAGCTACTTGATTCAACTGAAATAGAAAGTTTCAATTATCACATTTGAAATTTAATCTAATATTGTAGCTTTGGTGTCCTCTACCATACCTTCGCAGCACCTAGCACCAAGTGATCGCCTTGTAACTTGCTCCTCTCTTGCTTACGATATATCTATTATATCCATTGTCAAAACTTTCCCCCGTAGTATTCCCACTCACAGGAAAATATGGCAGCCGCAAGCACGGAGTAAACCCCCGTTGAAGCTGCAGTATGAGAACGGTGCTTGATAATTGGTCCACGAGTTTCTACGTATATTACAATGGTATATAGACAATTCAAATACAGCATAGACTCATTTACGTAATAAGGCAGGTAATTCAAAGGTAAAATCGGTAGTTTTGAAAGGTTGTAAAATCGAACCCGTTAGACAACAACTAGCTTTGTATAAAAACAATAGAACTCGGTATTTAGTCTAGCAAGTCAATAAAACTCAGCTGGAAAGTAAAATGAGACTCCTTCCCATAATGAGAAGCTAAATCAGTCATCATACTGCACCTAGTCATAGTCAGGCCGTAGCAGAGAGGTGCTCTAAGCCCTGTGACGGGAGGCTTAGCCGATGGCATTAATATGGTTAGTGACTAGGCACGTCCAGTCGGAGGTTCCAGTGTAGATGGTGTAGCCATCGTTGGGAGTGTTTCCATTGCTGAGGTTGTCTCCGAATTGCCAGAACGAATCGCCCCCCATGCCGCTGTTCGCAAGACCCAGCGCAGTTTTCTGCCAAACCGACTCGACCGAGCAGTGGTTGGACGTAACGCCATCTATGAGGAGAGAAATTAGCCATACGTCGTTTGCTTTTCTTCCTCAGCCCCAAGCCCCGCTTATCCTCACAATACTGCTCCGTTGAGATATGCATGTGGATTAGTGATGACTTACATTCTTCAAAATAGCAGGGCTTATTAGCCTTCAGGCATGCTGCAGCGTGAGTGGCAATCCATGAGTTCGCCCAATCATTGCTTGTTCCCCCTATTGGATAGTTGTTAGTTTTCTTCTATCAGAAGTTGTGCGAGATAACATACATTGGCTTGGGTAGAGATGCAGAGTGCCAAAGTCGAGTGTCGAGATACCTAGATTCTTGACAAAGTCAACGCCTTCGGAATACTGGTAAGGATAGCTTCCATCGCCGGCCAAACCCATGCCCTCATCTCCGAGGGTAACCATGTGGTTAGGGTCAAGACTCTTGATATAAGCCGAAGTCGTCGTGGCCCACTTGTATATGACACTAGTGTCGCAGCCGTTACATCTAGACTCGTTCGCCAGCTCCCAGGCAAAGATGGCCGACGAGGACTTGTATCGGCCCACGACGGCGGCGATGTACTTCTGGTACTGCGCCTGTGCGGCCGAGTTGGTGTACCATGTCTGATGAGTGCCACCGAAGACTCTGACATAAGCGTCTATGCCGCCGTAGTCGGCCCAATTATTAACGAAGTTAATAATCAGCTTAATCCCACGGGACTCAGCACTCGAGACTACATAGTCCAGGCGCTGAAGTCCGTTGGCGCCTGTGTTAATTGTTGATCCAGAGGACGAAAGGTACTGATAGTAGACAGTACCGCTGCCAGGGATTGACGTGACGTCATTAAAGCCCCATACTCGGAGAATCTTAAGACCAGAAGCTCTGATATCGTCTAGCGCCTTGTCAATGTCAGCGTTGTTGGTTAAGAAGCCGATCCAGTAACTGTTGGTGCCGGCATAGTACTTGGTTGTGCCATCGATATTGAACTTAGTGCCAATCGCCTTCGAAAACCCGGTGCTAGTTGGCCTACTTGAAGTCGAAGTAGCTGTCGAGGTCTTGAAGGTGGAGGCACTGGATGTTGGCTGTGTTGACGGTGTCGATGTAGTGGCCCCTGAACTAATATTTAGTTTGGCTCCTAGAAGATTGAAGAAAGTATAGTTTTCATAGTCTAACCTGGTATGCACTGGTAATACCAGTCATTAAGGTAACTGCAATTGGATCCAGAAACACATGAGGTTTGGCCGGTATAGTTAATCCCTCCGCATTGTCCCCAGAGAGTCTGCTGGGCTGAAACAGCACCAGCGAGCGCTACAATTCCAGAAGCAGCGTACGTGGACTTCATCTCGAGATTTGGTTGGTTACTTATGGAATGCCGATGCTGTTGAGATGAAGAAGATTCGACGCAGCAAACGCTCCTAATATACTCGCCCAGCAGTATTTCCACGGAGTTCGATCCTCCATGAACAGGTGTTGAGTATATTGACTATACTATATCGGACGCCTCCTCGAAGCTAGGCTGTGGCGTCGTTTTTATCTGTAATATAGAATCACTATATGAGCTGCGGCACAGTAACATCTTCCGAGGTCATTTTACTCGTGTTAGAAACAAGCAAGATTCCACCCGCCCACTAACCCCTCCCCCATTAGTAGCATATAACCGGCTAGGGTGTAGTATCAAAATGAGATCCAAATTTGTCGTAATCATAGTTCAACAGTCCGCCCCCAGTTTTACAAGAGCCAATTCTCCTCAGATGTTAAAGCAAGTTTTGCACATCTACTCCTACACTTTGTGCGAGATTTAAACCTTCCTAATATCTACTCTATTTTATAAAGCCGATTTGGCTTCGACGTGTTCTTTTGTTATATCTTGTGTATACACCTGGCCTAACAATTTAAGCATTTTCTCGTAGAATATCCAGCTTCATCCGAAAAGTTTTGAGAGTTATAGGGCAGATATTACTTAGCTTGTGGAGATAGTTGCAGAACACAAATATTCTACCAATCTAGACTTATCGTAGCTAAGGCTTGGCCTTTTTGTTTGATATATATATGATATTATATGAGATATTGAATCTGTAGGAATTGCGTTCTTGTAAGTTGCGAGCATTTTCGTTCTATTTTGTGAAAAAGTCCATTTAATACTAAACTAGATTCAATTCAATATTATGTAACACTAATACCAATTGGACTTCTGCAAACCTTTACCGTCTGTGCCTAATATTTTTCTAAATTAATGTACCTAGAACTCACGAGTTGACTTGGGTTCTAAATGTAGGCAGCCGCTAGCGGGGCGGTCGACTCCGAGACCTGGGGAAGATGCTTTAATGGGCCGCGATATACGGCGAAAACCCATCCGACATCCGCAAAGGGGATGGCTACTGTGTTGTTTACTGTGTTGTGCCCCGCTTTACCCCACCTAGTGGAGAAACCCGGCGCACATCATCTCCGCAAACTCTACGGCGTATCACAGGCACAAAAACATCATTGAACCCTATTTCAGCTAATTAAATATCAATACTTTGTTGTACGAGATGCGGGATGCTGTAACTGCTTTTACACGAAGGAAAGAACTAGAGGAGCGTGCAGGGAGGGGACCTAGTTAGAACCTAGATGCAACGTTTACTCACCTTAACTAATCATCATACAGGGCTAGTGGAACCTGCCCATGATGCTCAGGGAGTCGTCTGGCATTCACTCGATGGAGTGATAGGTTCCGTATGGCATATATTTCACTGGCATGTGGTAGGGTTCAAACCAGCGGCGTCTGAAAAAAAGAACCAAATTTTTAGACTCTTGTTCAGTGTCCGAACACAGGCGCGACATATGAGACATACGAGCCTGGCGATCGTCTTTTTTATCTGGAGAGTAACCCGTGAAATTCTAGCTCAACTCACTCGAACCACCTTCTTAGCCAATCCATTGCGCAGGATGTTGATTGGGTGGCAAACTGTTACGGCACGATCGATTCCGGCATGGGGCCATGGAGGCAAGCGGGCATGGGCAGGGGCTTACTAGGGCCAGATCGCAGTCAGTTTTCAGAACGTTTCAAGACCGTCCCGGGACCTACATTTAAAGGTGTTGCTTCGACAAAATACTATGCTGCATTTTCTGCGAGAATGTTAGACTGATGCCGGTACAAGGTGTAGACGACGTACTTCGTACTTCGTAGGAACCAGCCGCTCTCTAGTGGCCGACTGTAGCTAAAATAAATGTGCATCTGTTCTAGGCCCCTGCCGAGGAGCGTGCATGAGGGGATAAGAAGCAAGGTTTCTCCACGCCAAACAACTAATGAATTGCGCTGCTTTCCAAAGTCGCTGATACATTTATACTTGGCAATTTTCTCTGATCTGGCTGGTTCGATATGCCACAATTCCCACTTGGTACTTTCCGATATATGTATTCAATATTTCTTTGCATACAATTTACTATGTAAAGCTACCTATATTTTCCCCATGGAAATGGTGGGCTTAGTCTAGTCGACTATGAGCTAAACCGACATCACCCCAGAAAAGCGGCAATGAAGCATCGGAAGGGCCCCAGCCCAAGGGAAACCTCACATTCGTGTTGGCTGGCTGACAGCCCTCCACTTTCCACATGGCCTGTGCCTCTACTTAATATAAACGTCCCTGCTCACAAAATCCAACTCGCGTCAATTGCTCCAGAGACCACATCGCATTGTCCACCAGAATCGCCATACATTCCATATTCTGCTGCCGCCCATGGCCCCTAGTAATTTAACGCGGTATGAGGAGCTGCCAGTGCACGCAGATAATGATCTTGGCCCGTACCTGAATCGCTCAATATGGATTTTGGCTGTGCTCGCAGGGACACTATTAGGGTTGCGATTGTATTCAAAACTGTACCGGCATAGGTCACTGTGGTGGGATGACTATATCCTGATTGCTGCTTGGGTAAGGCATTATACCCGCTGTCGAAAATGTAGTTACATGAGGCCGTATTGACTAACAGGCCCATTCTATAGGTTGCCCTCGTTGCATCGACGTCGTTACAGTCGGCGGGAATTAAATTCGGACTTGGGAAACACTATGAAGATATGCAGGATAAAGAGAAAGTATCACTTTTCTCTTACGCCGCAGGGTTTTTCTCCATCTTAGCTACAGTTTGGAGCAAGACGTCTTTTGCTGTAACACTACTACGAGTTTCCAACGGCTGGATGAAGTGGTTGGTTTGGTTCATCATTGTTTCGACAAACCTTGTGTTAGGTGCCAATGCTATAATCCAATGGATTCAATGTTGGCCTGTGGAAAAGCTCTGGCATACGTGGATCAAAGGCAGGTGTTGGTCATACGAAATTATCCAAGATTACAACATTTTTGTAGCTGGTGAGTGATACGATCGATGGACAGCCTTAAAATCAGATTACTAATATTATGTGCAGCTTTTTCTGGTTTCGTGGACATCTTACTTGCATTACTTCCATGGAAGATCATTAGCCCAATCGTAACTAATAAAAGGGAGACGATCGGCGTGCTGATAGCCATGAGCATGGGTGTCATGTAAGTTCTAATTGAAAATCTAATTCGGTGGAGTTTACTAAATTGACGTTATAGCGCTGGTATTGTGTCTTTTTTAAAAATCAGAACTATTACATCTATTGGGGATGAAAACAGTAAGTGAAAGGCCCTTGATAATATCGTGACATATGACTAACTTGCCACAGCCACAAATGTGAGCTTGTTCATCTTCGGCACTGCAGAAGGGGCTACATCAATCATGGCTGCTTCAATACCCGTCCTGCGGGCTCTTATCAAAACAAATACACGACCACAAGATTACCAAGATCACGACCGCCCGGCAAGCACACGTGTCATGTTTCGGAGCAGCACACTTTCCGTTGAGCTTGAAAGCCGGCATAATTATGAGGTAGACTGCAGCAAGTGAGATGGTATATGTAGGAGCATTCTTTCGATAATAATTACTCACAGAAAATATGTGCTACCTAGCCGTGGCAGTTCCTCCATTTCAGTTTATCTGGTGTTCGAAAGAGTCTCGTTCGGTTTACGTTACTTAACTAAAACAGAATAGAACATTACTAGGCTACCTGCCCAAAGAAATCGGCCAACTGTCAGCAGGGTTGCTAGGAATGATACAGGACACAAATTTATGCATCTCGAACATACTTTGAACGGCGTAGTCCAAGCATTGGCTCTGACTACAAAAGTCGTGTTGATGGCAAAAATAGTCACCCTCTAACTAGATAGTATGGGCAATGCCCAATGGATGGTATGGCGTACCACGAGGCAGCGCGGTAAACCATCAATATCTAGCCAGGGTTATTATAATGGCAAACCCTTCTGAAGGCTTACTACCCCTATTTGGAAAAAAGAGACAGATTTTGGTACGAGGTATATATGAGGGCGTGGGAGAGCTGAGTGGACAAGCGGCTAATAGGTGGCTTTGGGTTGAGAGTTGAGTACACGGCGTGGGTGAGTTAGAGGGGGAGGAGGGGTTACATGGGAATGGCCATATAGGGAACTGTGTACCAGGGCCAAGGGAGAAAGTGTAGTTCATGAGGAGGGATAATAAAGTGACATAACATCTACTAGAAGAGTCTGCATTAGGATACATCGCATTTACCAGTATAATTTCCGTATGAATCATCTCGCTTTTCCAGCTTTCCTCTGAGAATCTATCAGAATCTCACTGTTTGCACACGTCGGTAATTCTTATTAGCACCTGCATTTTATCATAGCCATTTCACCGTCACCTTATTGTCAGTTCAATACTATTGCAGATTTCAGCCAAAGAGCGGACGGTTCTTTTTCCGACTGCTTTTTATCACCATGCTGCCACAAGGCGCAACAAGAATCTACGCGTGGCACATCCTCAAATTCTTTTGGTATGCCTCTATCGCTCTACATTCGCTTCCAGTCTCCCCTTACTCTCCCTCTCCTCTATTAGTTACATTTTTCGCCTTCTCCTCACTCCTGCCCAAATCCGCTGATTTTATTTTGCGGAGAAGAAACGGTTTCTGTGTCTAACCAAACTTAGTTCCTTCCTTTTGGTGCTCTCCTGCGGAACACGTTCTCCGGTTTCCCAATACAGTTAGCTCAACACCACCCCTGTCCCAAACCCCACAATACCCCACACTACCCCAAAAATTCATTGGATTGATAAACTGGGATGCTACCCGCCACCTCCAGATGTTAAACTACAACAGATCCATCACGCATTCTTTCCCCCCTTAACCCCCTGATTCATCAATTGCCTATTTCTGCACGCATCAGAGCTGCGCCGTGTAGCCTTATTAGGCGCTGATCCGATACAAGCTAGGTGCGGTCTCGCCTCGGTTCGGAACTGACCATATCTCGCATTGCTTCTTCTCCTCTGTATCACACAACCACCCGCAATCCTCATCTGCCCCTGGAAATCGCCGGAGATCTAGACACGAACATCATTCATATTGTCTTTGCAACATCAGGTGCCTCTGGGGTGGGTCGATTCGGCCGTAGTCTAGTTCTTACAATCGTTAATATTAGTTGTTGCCTATGCTGCATAGGCAAGGCCGTTCCAAACTCCATCGCAAATGTCCACGGTGATAACTCTATTGTGAACAGCGTTTCTCCTCCAGTCTGTAGGACTGTTCTCGCATAGCTTTACATGTTCCAGATCTGCTTCCCAATCGGCTAGATCCGTTACAGGCTCTGCACCACCATATGGAAGTTTTCTCTTTCGAGACGAGTGCCAATGGAATGGCTTTCTAGAGCTCGTTAACGTCCATTAGACTCCTTACTAACTAGTTCGGTTTACTACGCATCAAGAGCTGTACTGCGACTTCCGTGTTCAAGCTCTAGAACCTATGTTAGGTGTAGGCTGCCGCAATCAGCTAAAAGGAAGTCAGGCCATATCCCGCTCAAGGGCTTCCAAAAGGAGGATCGCTGGCCCAGTGTCCATATTCAGTAAGAGGAATCTACACATATGTTCCGCCTTTATGTCAGTACTACCCTGTTTAGCCAGGACTCCATTACACGGTGCCTGTAAGGCGGTCCTCACGTGATGGCACGTGAGGTGCCACGCCGAAGGCAGCCCTACGGTGGAGCTGTCATTCGGGTATAGCCCGATTATTAGGGTTCACGGGATAGGAAGATATATCAGGGGCTGGAGCCTCAGTGGAGGACTCCAGTCAATAGTCGCTGTATCTACGTAGACCTATTGTGCTTACTGAATACGACACCCTCCCTGCCTCCTGACCCGGTTCCTTGGACTCCCGTGAGACCCTAGGCTTACGCTTTACAGTGCCTCCGCATCCGTCCTGCCTTTATTAGTCCTCAATGGTGAGTAGCTATCTCACGTTAGAGAGAATTTTACGTGCACTGTATATTGCTGTATTATAACTACCCCGCCAAGATCAGTGAAGTGACGTTAAGGATAGGGGTAATGTTAGGGGCGTTGTGGGGGGATTGCGGGGTGCACATAGCTGCCGAAAGACTTATTGCATATTGTGCGAATATGGTCCTACCCGTAGAACCAAGAGACTCATTCCACAACACAAATGACGGATGTGGGCTTCTGGTTTCATATAGTAGCCCAAGCAGGTCTTGGGAAAATCTTTTGGCGTTGAAATAGTTCGGCTCCTATAGTGGTACCTGCGCATCCGTCCCACCATTCTTGACATTTAGCGAAAGGCATTATATATTAACGTGTTCCATCTATGTAGTGAAGATCAATGCTCAATATTAAAAAGTAGGGATAATTAGGGGGTGCATACAGCTTTATTATTGTTTTTTGGTTGGAAATGCCTCTACTCCGCAGCATTAAAATACTTATTCGAAACACAAATATGGTCTGAGATTAATTCTAGAGAGATCCAGGAATAAGAATTCTGTTGATCTTCAGAACTAACGGTTACGAACGTAGAGACATGATGGGTATATAAGGGTTTAATTCCCCCAGGAGATGAACAGACAAAAGGACAGCAAGAAAAAGAATCACATTCCATTTCTACTACTTTTATAACATCAAAAAAATTCGAGTCCCACAAATACCGAAAATGAGGGCTTCAGGAACAATCATCGCCGTCGTCTCGACTTTGTCTCTGGCCTCGGCTATCCCTACCGTCTCGCTGACGAAGCTTGCGTTCCGTGCCGACCCTGCTGACGATCCCCGTGGAAGCTACACTGTTTCCGGCCTGGGGGCCAGGAAACAAGAAGTAACCGGTGCTGGTGCCGACACATTTGCGCTCGCCGTCGCCATGCTCGAGACGGATGACATGTCAACCACCTATGCCTATGGCGATAATAAGCAAGATGACGCCTCTAACTTCGGCATTTTTAAGCAGAACTGGGGAATGTTGAGAGAGTGCTGCACACAGTTCCAGGGTCAGACGGAAGTCGAGTGGAACAACGGGGCTGTTTTGAAGTGAGTTTCCAACTTGTTCAGGAGTTATGTCCCTTTTTTTAGTTGGATAGACTGACTGATTTTACGGCAAGCTCTGATTTGAATGCCGACATTGAATGCCTTAACGAATGTCGGTTGTACTATGGTGTTGACAAGTGGTTCGGTGGACACCGTGATGGCTCTACTGGGCTAGCTGATCCAACACTGGAAGTGATCGTGGGTAAGTTTATTCTCAATCCCCCTCTCTGTACAGTATTGACCAATTGCACAGATTACAAAGCCGGCATCGAATGGATCCAGGCGCAAATAGAAGCAGATCCAACTGGTCTCACGGATGATACCAGATTCTGGGTTCAGATCCAAGCGATCTAAATATGCTGCATCAAAATCGATTCTCATATGATAGTAGCAAAGCTCAGGGCCAAAGACGCAAATGAAAACTATGTATTGCGGAATTCTAGTATAGAATTAGACGCTAAGCAAATTATAACGTGATTATCTTTTTATCTGAATTTTCGTTACTATATAATTATCCACTCTCATGACTTATAGTAGATACGCCTCATCCTCACAATCACCCTCTACTATTTAAAAGCCTTGATAGGCTTCGAGCCCTTTACCCAATCAAAAGTACCCAAAATATTAGTCAACCATACATCTTCAGGGCCTTGCGCGACCTTGGGTGTGTCATCTTCATCATCCCAGAGTGAGCCGCTAAGGAAGTTATGCGGAAATCCTGGATCAAAACGATAAGCCCTTTCAATCTTCTCAATATCCTCATCAGTTAGATCAACAGTGAGCGCATCAATATTGCCCTTAATGTGATCTACCTTCCGGCCTCCAACGAGTGGGAAGACATATGCTGCCTTATGCATGACATACGCCATTGCAATACTGGTGATTTCTGTATTCTTAGCGGAGGCGAGCTCTTCCATTACTTTAGAAACAGCCCGCTCGATAGAAGATGGTTTGCCCTTCCGACCAGGGTTACTCTCCTCACGCTCTTTAAAAGAAGCTTCAGTTTGGAAACGTCCTTGTCCCAGGGTGCCATAAGGTAGCAAAGCCATTCCCTCGTCCCTGCACATGGGAATAATATCACGCTCGAAATCTCGCATAGCTGCATTCCACATTCCCTGGTAGACGGCAAATTGGCGGAGGCCATGATCACGTGCGTACTGATTGGCTTTCGCAACGACCCACGCTGGTGAATCCGAGATGCCGAGATACATGACTTTCCCAGAGACGACAAGATCGTTGAGGCTGTGCATCAGTTCGGGGATGGTGGTCGCGTAGTCCCACCAGTGTAGATACAGCAAATCAATGTAAGAGGTTTGCAACCTCTTGAGCGAATTATCAACAGAGACGCGAAGGGATTTTGTTCCATTGCCCCCGAAGTTGGACTGAATTTTCTCCTTTTCGTGCGTTCGATAAGCACTGGAAAATTTGGTAGCAATGACCATCTCATCGCGGCAGTTGCGTGAACCCAACCACTCCCCAAGCCATTCCTCAGACTCGCCATTTTGATACCCATTTGCTGTATCAACAAAATTCCCCCCACAGTTTTTGAAGGTGTCAAGGATCTTAAAGGCCGTTTCCTTGCTACATTCGCCCATGCGCTCCTTGTGAGCCTCGCCGAAATTCATGGCTCCGAGGCATATTGGAGAAACTCGAACATTGGCGGTCGGACTAAGCTGGCGGTGACGGAAGAGGGGGCATGTTGGTGGTGGTGGTGCTGAATATGGAGGTGACATGTTTGCAAATACAAATGTAGTCGTGTATCGAGGGTATTGAGAGCCTGGTGATAATATCAAAAGGTGTGAAAGATGCTCAGTGTGCCAGCGGTGGGATGAGCTTATATAGGCTCGAGGAGAAAGGTTTGTAGCTGTAGGGAGCTACATTGTTTCGGTAAGACAGAGTCTTAACTCCGTCGTCGGCTTGCTAAACATTAGGGGCCATTTTCTAAAGTGCTCCATTAGGTTGTCAAAACCCAGAAAGAGTAAGCTAAGACAACATCAATACTCTACGATACATTAGATTGACAGTGGTTGAATTTAAAGCTAAAACCGTTCGAGACTAGCCAGTGGCTTCCTTAACCCTGTAGTAGCGTCTCTTATGCTAATATTATGCACGAGCTAGGTGATTAGTGAGCCTGGCCACACATACTTTTTTTTAGGCGATGACGTATAATAAGCAGGCTGCAGTTAAACTTCTACATGCCCCACTGCTTATCAACGACCGCGTTCCGATATATGTGCCGCTCCCATTTCCATACCAGTAATGAGATAGCCTGTAGTTAAGCCCAAGATTACGCAACTCAATCATGTTTGTCGGAGACCGAAATGAAATGCCCCCCGCAGTCGAGCTAACACAAATGAAACACCAGGTGGAAGTGAGGGGCCCCGAAGACGATTGGACAGGCATCACCAATGCAGCTGAACGAAGAAAGCTGCAAAACCGTTTACATCAGAGGACCTACAGTAGGTATCCTAATTTCACTACTGCCAGCTTCTTACCCCCAGCTATGAGTTTCGTCAACTAATATATCACCTTCTGCTTTACAGGAAGACGACGTGCGGCTAAACCAAGTACGCCGAATTCAAAGAATAATGAACGCCCTGCCGCTGTGATATCGCCACAGACAACTCGCCTTTGTGGCAAATTCAGAGGCCTCATTGCTGCCGTTGAACATATAATCAAGGCGCAATATGAAGATGGCAATCCTCAAAGACCTCGCAGCACCCAATCTAGGTTACTAGGTGCTGTGGCCAGCAATGATCGGTTGATAGAACACAGCCCGCTTAGTATAAGTCGGGGTCAACTTGAAGTTATTATGGCCAAGTTCGAAGAGATGGCTTATCGAGATTATATGTTAGGCTCACCACGAGTTGATCAGCTTCTCACACTCATTCAATTTAATGTCTTCCGTGCTCTCATTAGCAATACTCGCACCATGGGATGGTCTCTGGGATGGCTCGAAAGTTCCGATGATATATTATCCCCGTGGAATAATCATCCCAAAAACATCGAGCCTCAATGTCCACAAGCCCTGCGCCCGACCGACCTCCAACGAACAATTGAGCATCATCCATGGATTGATCTCTGGCCTATACCAATGATGAGGGATAACCTACTGCTAGCTGGGGATTCCTATGATGAAGATCAGTTATGTAATGATTTAGTGGAGTTCGAAGATATTCCGAACGAGCAGACAGGTCTCACTGTTTGGGGTGAACCTTGGGATCCCGCAGGTTGGGAGGTTAGTGACACCTTCTTGAGGAATTGGGGCTGGACCGTTAAGGGATGCATAGAATTGCAGAAGTCAACGAATTATTGGCGCGCGAGGCGTGGCGAGGAACCTTTGGTCTTTAATTTTTGAACAACGACCCTATGTCTATAGGAGAAGGAAAAATGGCGCGCTTACAAGGGGATGGGTGATTAGCTTTCAAATAAGCGGTTAATACAAAGAATTCGATTCACACTATCACCTCAAGAAGTCACTTTGTAATGACGGTTCTAGCTACTATTTCTTGTGATATTCTGTAAAGTAAGCTATAGAGTTATGGTAAATATCTCTCGCATTTTCACTTACGTCATTACTCACTCAGGTCTTTCGCTCATAGAACCCTTGAGCATCATAATAGACGAACCCTATAAGTTCCTCACATATTCAGCTAGCCATGCATCTGTTTGATCGCACGTTGGCAAGCGGAACTAGATCATAGTAATGTATTAAAGAAGACTCTCTTGAGAGACAAAGTCTTATCACTCGTTTGTGGAAGTAGCTTCTTGCAGCACTAGAAGCAATGGGATTTGATATAAACGACAACTAAACTGTATGGCGCTCAGGCGGTATGTGTGCTTTTCACAATTAGCTGTAACAGCCTAACGTACCGACCCCGTAAGGCTGGTAATTGTCCATGCAGAAGGTGGCATCTACGCGGACCTAGATGTCTATCCCCGCGCCACGACACAAATACAATGTCTTCAGCATCTCGGCCTATACTATAGCAATACTTCGGGCAAACGTCGGCGTACTGTGGAAAGGCGCGTGTTTTTTTGCCCCGCGGAATCATATTTCTGTTCTGTAATATCGTTTCGAGACTCTTTCGAGGCATGGAGTTGTATCACTACAAGGGGAACTAATACCCCACACACACCCCGCGCACCCCACACCCCACATCGCCGAACTCTGCACTTAACGGAACCAAGGATCTAAGGATCTAAGGATAAATCACCGCCGCTAGTAGCAACTGGCAGACGAGGATATTTTATCCATTCAGGTAGCTACCCATGCCAAACACTACTAAAGTAGTTGACAGTCCCGAGACCCCCGTCTCTACGGATGACACTGGAGTCCGGTGGGGCGGAGGGACATATGCCCCGAGACTCGGAAAGGAATTGTTCCACTAGGTTGCGCTCACCATGGAAAGACTAGGTGTCTCGGAGACTACCTTCCCCGTCTAACGACCCTGCTCATGGTAGTTGGTCTCATTAGTGCTAGGTAGAGACCCGAAAGGGTGGCAAGTGTAGGAGTTCCGCGAAGCCTAATGATTCTAGTCCGTTTAGTTTCTAATAACATATTATAGTACTACGCTATGCCTACTGTAGTCTTATCTGCACCCAGGTGAAAGTTTAGTCTCCTCCTGCTATTTAGGCTAGAGACAAATATGACTATGTAAATAACGAAGATATATACTGTGGCAAAATCTCTTCATTACGCAAGCGTAAATGATGTCACCTTCACCGATCCACCTAGCGCCTTCTCTGCAAAGTTAAAAATCCCCCATCTATACCCAATAAAGTAACTATAATCAGTATTCATCGTGTAACTCCCCCCAAGCGGCTTAAAGGTAGTCCCGTCGAGGCTGTACTCAAAAGATACCCCGTGCGAGCTCACCTGAGCAGCTTGCACCGTGCCTCTAAGCCAGACCCTCCCCTTCGTAATCGTCGCGCTGGCCGTCGTTGTCCCATCCGTAAGCGTCACCCAGTTGTTCGCCGAATCCTGCTTCATGCCCTGCACGTTAGAAATCGTGTACGTGCTCCCGTTGCGAGAAATGCCGATGTAGGCGGTCCAGTCGCGATAGGCAGCTAAGCCGCAGACGTCTCCGTCGGCCATGTTACTTGTATCCAAGATAACGGTGCCAATAGAGACAGCACCGAATACGCGGTGCGTGAGCGTGTTACGTGCCTCGAACAGATCGTTGGTAACAGTAGCAGTAGATAGCGTTAGCCCATTGTTAACGGTATACTTCGTCGTATCAGTGCCGAGGCTGGTTCCCTGAAAGGTGTCGGTGCCTAGCCAGGATGCGAGCGGGTGGGAGGGTAGGGGGTTTGGGTATGACGAGCCCCATTTCCCACCAACTTGCGTCAAAATGGGGAAGTCGTCCGAGCCCCAAGTAATAGGAGCGAGAACGGGAAGTCGGCCTGACGGATATGACCAGATGAATGACATGAAATACCAGTCGCCTTCGGGGGTCTCGACTAAACTTCCTTGGCAGGGCGTGCCTCCACCAAGCTCAGACGGCCCAGGAATAGCCGTTTGAAGTGTCTTTTCGGTCCAAGGGCCCCATGGGCTAGTGGACTTCCAGATCAGTGTTGCGCCCTCAGCAGGTGCGTCGTCAAGGATGTAATATATCCCATTCCTCTTGTACATGCGATTTCCTTCAATACCGGTAAAGGGAGACGGGTACGAAAACGCTTTCTCTGTCTTCGCAATGGTGAGGCCATCGCTCGAAAGCTGCGCCACGCTGACATCGTTGCTGCCGTATACGATATACATCGTATCATCATCGTCGATGAGGAGACCACAATCGTAAAAACATGTTGCCTCGAATTTTGCTACCTGTTTCCATGGACCGGTCACTGCAGGAGCGGTGTAGACATAGGAGTTCCAGAAATCAATGCATCCATACCAGTACCACAATCCGGTGCTTTTTCGGTATCTTAACGTCGAGGCCCAGGTACCTCTTCTGTAGGCAGTGCCTCCAACCATATTGTAAGCATCGCCGAAGTCCAAGGTAGGAACGGAATGTCCGATAAATTCCCAGTTTATTAAGTCATAAGACCGAAGAATGGGAGCCCCTGGGGAGTAATGCATATTCGACGCTGAGAAGTAGTAGGCACCATCTGGACCGAGGAATATATCATTGTCGGCGAAGTCCTCATAGATTACGGGGTTGGTGAAGACTCCAGTTGGCTGAGTGTCCGTTTTAGTTGAGGTAGTTGACGTTGCTGGAGGCTTTGTTACGGCAATGCTTGACGAAGGGATGCTTGTACTTTCAGGGCATGGAAGACATTGAGAATACCAAGGGTTCGATGCGATACAACAGATGCCGACAACGCAGGAAGTCTCTCCCGTCCATCCAGCTCCGCCACCTAAAAGAATTAGCTTGTATTTTTCGAAGGCAATGAAATACTTACATTGGAACCAGATTTCTGCTTGCCCATACACAAAAGGCAACGCAGCGCAGAGAATAGCAGCAACATACATCATAATAGCAAATGATAGTAAACTTAATAAACGTCTTAATGTTCGAGGGTCGTTGTTCATCCTGCTACATGAAGTTCTTATATATTCTCGTTCATGTTTTAGGGACACTGACCAAACCGGCCCGACTTCCTAATCACTATATCATTGATGCTGCATTCCGTCCTTTGCATGGCTAGCAGGCGGCAGGGTATCCAGAGTAGAAATGCGGAGAACCGAAGAATAGCCTAATAAATAGAGATAAGCTCCGCAAGCGTAACCATTCTAATGGCTCGAACTAGGATAAAGCACCGTAACACACAATGCATATGCAAGAAATCATAGGATACCGATAATAGGCTGATAATGCTCCCTTCCTTTCATAATTTACTAAATTGCTGTAAAGTAAATTATGAAAGGAAGGGAGCAAATTTCTACAAGGCAGAAACAACAAGCGGCTATCATAAACGTTAATTGATGCATAAACAATTTCCGTTATACATATCCTATCCAGGAGTCTTGATCTCGTGAACATTTCCTCATACGGATTGTAGATTAATCCAACAAATTGTTCCAGTCCGGCCTACGGCCCACATTCGCCGACTTTGTTCGTTGGCCATCCGGTTTGATACAGCCAAACTGTATCGTTAACGTCGTAACTACGAGACCCGGGATTACCAAGAATTACCAAGGTGCACAGTAACTAGGGCTTATCCCCACAGTAGAATAGGCAGTCGAATTGATCTCTTCAAATCCATCCAACAGTGTGTCGTGAAGGACTACTATCATGTGACTAGTCTATTATAAACCCTATTTTTGGCCCAGCGATCCCCTGCCCCTAATAACTGTCCCCGCACGACCCCTCGAAACCGAAAAGCACATGTGAATCCCACAGGTATCATTCCTCGTCCTATTATGGCACACCAGGCGCACGCCATCCCGTGGGGTGTCCTATCCTCCAACTTCAAGTTTACCTCTAAATCAGCACGACACGGAGATGAAACGAATTTGTTTCCTCGCAAGAATCCAGCACAAGGAAAGGAGCTGATGTATTTTGCTCACGGCTTTGCTCAAGCTGTGGAGTCTATGTCACGAACTGAGCGAGAGAACTATCCATCGTCCTACGATGTGACTGGGTCTAACGACCTTCTCATCGACGATGTTACGGAGTCTAAAATAAGGAATACGGTTCGAAGATATCGCATGGCAATTACTCGGGGAAAACAGAGGGGCTACTGCCCTTCGCCTTGCCCTGTAACCTACATGCACGGATGCACTTGTCCGCTTTCCCCAGTGGATAGGTCTATATTACCATGGAAACTCGAGGATAATCTCAACCAGTGTGTGGAATATCCCTCTCCCCACCACGACTCCACGGAGCTATTTAAAACCCTCCTCCTCCACGGCCAAATAGACGCTCTCCTCCGCATCGCCGCACAGCCATCTGCCAGTATAGAGATTATATGGGCGCCAGTATGCTGCAGGGGGCAGATTGGCTGGGGCGAGCTGATGCGGTCAACTCTCATGTCCTACATCTGCCTAAACGTATCTTTCCTCAAGCCAGAAACATACGACGCCACAGCCCGCGCGGCATACTTGAGGGAGGAGCACCGAAACCCGCCAACAAAGCCAGAGGATCTCGATTACCGTAAGGCGGAGGGCTATGAGAGGATGCTGAAACGATGCACTGCTCGTGCTGCATATGGTGTGCATCTTTATCCTCACCAAGAGTTCTTTGGGGTCGGTCCAGATGGATCCGTTGACCAGAATTGGCGAGATAGCAACCCCACCATGCCCGTACTAGAGACTCATAACCTCCATGAATATATGCCGCTCAGGTCAGATATACCCGTTGTCACCCGGTACCTACAGCAGAAAGGATTGCCCCTCGAACTTGCGCCAGAGGTCCTGGATCATGCAGAGTATATACCACGGCGGCGGCTACCAATTGCTGATGATCCGTTGCATCCGGAGAATTCTGAGGAGCTGCGCAAGTATCTGAAGTACTGCTGGAAGCTTTTAGTCTGGTGCAATGTGGTTGCAGAGGGAACTGGGAAGAAAATCAACTGGGTGTATGAAATCACGCAGTGTATCTTGGACCTGTGGGGAGTTGATGAACTGAAAAGGAGAACAATACATTACTATGTGATAGACCGTGAGTATTTGCAACTACCGCGTGTCGACGGATATTCCTTCATATGATTGGGGCTGCTAAGAGGCAGGCACTATGAAGCGGAAGCATTTTCCACTAAATTCATACAACAACAATACCAACAGCACGATAGCACTTGGGATAGAACATATCACATTATCAAGAGACAAATCAACTGTTCCCGGTTGAATGGGCTTGTATTTTTTTTAACTACTTCCCCGCCAACCTTCTACACAACAGATGAAATCCATCTATGAGAAAGTCAAATAAATCCGCTGAGGTAAAAAGATCAAAACGCCTGATTGGGTCTGCCCGGTTGATGGACACCCTTATACCGCTTCCCACAATGCTGTTGAAATCCCACCCATAGTATCTTTTTAGACCCTCTTGCCCAAAACCCAGAGAACGCCGATGTTGAGATCGTCCCCTTCATAATGATCACAACTACTATTATCATATAATTATGTATCAAACTGCCACTTTAAGTGGACTTGGCGTACTTCTCACGGAAGAACTTGGCGGCGTTGACCATGTTGACCAAGGCGGCCTTGGTCTCGGCCCACTGGCGGGTCTTAAGGCCACAGTCGGGGTCGATCCAGAGCTGGTCTGGCTTGAGGTACTGGAGCATCTCCTCGATGCGGTCCTTGATCTCTTGCTCGCTTGGGATACGGGGAGAGTGGATGTCGTAGACACCTGGGCCGATGTGGCGGGGGTAGGCCTCGTCGACGAAGACCTTGAGGAGCTTGGCATCGGACTTGGAGTTCTCGATGGAGAGGACATCGGCATCGAGGGCGGCGATGGCGTGGAAGAAGTCCTGGAACTCGGAGTAACAGAAGTGAGAGTGGATCTGGGTGGAGTCCTCAACACCGGCGACGGACAGGCGGAAAGACTTGACGGCCCAGTCGAGGTAGGCAACGCGCTCCTTGCCGGCGCGGAGGGGAAGACCCTCACGGAGAGCGGGCTCATCGACCTGGATGACGAACACACCGGCGTTCTGGAGGTCAACAACCTCATCACGGAGAGCAAGAGCAAGCTGCTCAGCCTGGACGGACTGGTGAACATCGTCACGGGGGAACGACCATCTGAGGCAGGTGATTGGGCCAGTCAACATTCCCTTCATTGGCTTCTTGGAGATGGAGACGGCGTATTTGGACTCCTTGACGGTCATTGGGGCTGGGCGGGAGATATCACCGACAACAATCGGTGGGCGAACGCAGCGGGAACCGTAAGACTGAACCCATCCGTTGGTGGTGAAAGCATAACCATCGAGACGCTCACCAAAGTACTGGACCATGTCGTTACGCTCCGGCTCACCGTGAACGTAGACATCGAGGTCAAGCTCCTCTTGGATCTTGACAACCTCTTCGATCTCCTTCTCAATGAACTTCTCGTACTCAGCAGCGGTGATCTCGCCCTTGGTGAACTTGTTACGGTAAATGCGGATCTCCTTGGTCTGGGGGAAGGAACCAATGGTGGTGGTGGGGAACATTGGGAGGCCAAGCTTCTCCTGTTGCTGGGAGATACGGACAGGGAACTCAGACTTGCGGTTGTACATGGCTGGGGTAACCTTCGACTGGCGGTCCTTGACGGCGGGGTCGTTGGTGCGCTTGGAGGTAGCACGAGCCTGGACAGACTTGGCGTTGGCCTCAAGGGCCTCACGGACGGAGTCTGGGCCCTCGGTGACGGCCTTGGCGATGATGGCAACCTCAGCAGCCTTCTCGACGGCGAAGGAGAACCAATCGGCGATCTCAGCGTCAAGCTTCTTCTCGCTGGCGAGAGTGTGAGGGGTGTGGAGGAGGGAAGAGGAGGTGGCGACAATGACACGCTCCTTGCCAACCTTCTGGATGGCGGACTCAACGACCTCAATGGCACGCTTGAGGTTGGTCTTCCAGATGTTGCGACCATCGACAACACCGGCAGAGAGGATGGTCTTTGGGCCAAGGGCCTTGACAACCTCATCGAGCTGCTCTGGGTTGCGGACAAGGTCGATGTGGAGACCGTAGATGTCCTGGGGAAGGGCATCGACGTTGTGGACGATGTCACCGAAGTAGGTGGCGAGAACGATCTTGGGGATGGCATCTCCGAGAGCGGCAAGCTTCTCGTAGGTTGGCTTGAAGGCAGCCTTGACCTTTGGTGCGAGATCGAAGACCAGGGTTGGCTCATCGATCTGGACGGTCTCAGCACCGGCAGCCTTGAGCTTCTTGAGGAGCTCAATGTAAACTGGGACAAGTTTGTCAATCAAAGAGATTGGGTCAACGGTCTGGTTACGGTCTGGCTTTCCGAGGGCAAGGAAAGAAACTGGTCCAACGAGGACGGGGCGGGTGGTGATGCCAGCCTCCTTGGCCTCAACGAACTCGTTGACAGCCTTTGGGCTCTCAACAAGCTTGAACTCCTGGTTGTCCTGGAGGGTTGGCTTGACGTAATGGTAGTTCGAATCGAACCACTTAACCATCTCCAGAGATGGGACATCGACGCCCTCCTTCTGGAGACCACGGCCCATAGCGAAGTACTCATCAACAGCGTTGAGCTTGTACTTGGTGTACCTCTCTGGGACAGCCTGATTGGATGGATTAGCAGCTGTAACAAGAGCTCGAAGGTATGGGAATTTGTGCTTACGTTGAAGTCCTGGATGTGGGTAAGGACCTGATCGTAGAGAGCGAAGTCGTTGGATGGGATGATGTCGACACCGGCATCTTTCTGGATCTTCCAGTGAGCAAGACGGAGGCGCTTGGCCTCAGCGAGGAGCTCATCCTGGGTGATCTTTCCACCCCAGTAGTTCTCGGTGGCCTTCTTGAGGTCACGGTTCGCACCCATGCGAGGGAAACCGAGGATAGCTCTGTAGACTTGTCATTAGCAGTTGGTCTTTGAAATAATCTCGATGGATGGGAGAAGAGGGGTAAGTTAACATACGATTGAACCATCTTGGCTGTGGGTTGTGAAGAGAGAGAGGTGAAGGGTTTGTGAAGAAGACTGAAGGGTTCTACTTCCTGTAGTAGTAAGGAAGATAGATGTCAAAAGTCTATCTGACTTTATGAAGAGTAGATGAGGGTTTTTTTGGAGGAGGAGGAGATGATGAAAGAAGAGGGAGAATAAGGGAGAAAGAAGGAGAAGAAGTAGAAGAGGAAAGAGGGGGCGGGGCGGTGAGATGCGAGTAGACGAGTAGAGTAGACTAGATTTTGATTTTCGGAGGGGTAATTGTTTTGGTTACTGTGATGGTGGGGTCTTTTTGGCTCCTGGGTCGGAGGCGAGAGGGCGGGGTGATGGCGTGATTCGTCAAAATGCCCGATACCCGTTAAATAATGAAGAAATGCCCCGTGTATCGGGATACATGGGAGGAGGGGTGGAGGGGTTGTGGGGTGTTTGAGGGCTATGGTAGGTTGGAAGGTATGGGAGGGGTTGGTTGGAGGGGTGATGTCGCTCAAAAAACGTTTTATTAGGACAGGTTAAGGTATGGGTATGAGCTGTAAAGCTGGTCTGTAGTCCGATCGTGTGATGAAGCTTTATCGGGTTTGAAAGAGGCTCTTGGTGCGTTTGGAGTTTGGTGGTGTAAATATGACCACACACATAAAACAAAAGTAGTTGTGGTTGATTAACGGTCAACCGTTAATACGCACAGTCGTTTCTGAAATATGTACGAGTGAGACAGTTCACCCTCCGATCATCGAGATACGTACAGACAGTACTACAGTAGTATTAAAGTATCTCCGATATGCCCTCAAAAGCCCTAAAAGCCCGAAAAGGGCAGGAACGACCCTCTCAAGTTTCCCAATTGCTGTTATGGCAAGTACGATCGATACAATAGAATACAATATTTCATGAAAATGGAAGGAGTACTGCTCGTTCGTTCCTGCCAGTACAGTGATGTCCCCTACTGTGACGTCTGTAGCTTCGTTGGTCCCTTTCTCTCTGTCCATGACCCATCCAGCTTCTTCTCTGTGCTTTTTTTGTGAGCTCTATTCTCACTGTTTTCTTTGTCGTCTGTCATCTTCAAATTGAGCCATGAGAGGCAATACATGTTGCATTGCTCGTGGGTCTCCTTCACCAGACGGCAGGCCACCTCGCCAAGTCAATCCGGTCTCGGTGCATCCGCAGGCATCGGGAAATGCACGCATGGTGTCGTGGAGTTCCCGATTTTCAAAATCCGAGGACGCTGCGGAACTGCATGCTATTTTTAAAGGTGACAATCTCGATGATGGGGATGATTCAAATTTGAAGAAACGACGTGCTGGCGGGTCAAAGCTACAAAAACGCTTCTCGCGCGACTTGACACTCACAAACCAGAGATCCCCAACGTCGACCGTTGCGATTAGCGAGGAGGAGGTCGCACGCCGTGAAGAGGTGAAGCGTATCCGCGCTAAGAGATTACAAGAAGAACTCGGGGACATACGTGTTTACGACGAGGATGCGACACCTCTTTGCGCCAGCCCGTTCGGACAGACATCGAAAGGTGCAGCTAATGATTCAGATGATACCTCTCAAGACGATTCAGTAAATGATATTATCAATGCTTACTCCAGCCATCGTGTCGATCCCGGTGACAATCAACCGCTCCCATCTCGCAAAATGGCCGTCGATACACCAAACAGGTCGGATTCGGCCCTTGAGGACCCGGAAACCCCCTTGCCTCCCGTTCTGAACCCCCAGAATACCCCTAATATCGGCGATACATCAATTGGGCGTACCTCTTGGAGACTATCATTTACATCTCCGCAGCGAGCCAGGTGTTTGCGAGCGCTTAGCTTGTCCAATCCTGAAGACCAGAGCACAAACAATGCCAACCTGACAGTGCCTACCTCTGAGCATCCGCCCTCCCCTGGCAAGAAGAAGAGATGGCTGAACAGCGGATACCGACGGTCTCTGGAGGCTCAACATTCCAGTGCAACTTCAGGTGAACTAACTGCAGGACCTCACATTCCGGAAAAGGCATCCGCAATCCCACTTCATGAGATGCAAATCTCCCAACGCTTGGCGTCTGCAGGCACTTACATTCCACAACAGCAGTCATCTGAGTACAAAGACATAACCCTTGACGGCGAACCTGTAAGTCCCGAAGATGGGTTTCGAGAAATTAACACCAGAAGATCTCGATATTTTTGCAACATTTCTGGCTCAGCCTTTAGTGAAAGCAAGGTTCCAAGAACGTGGGGTCAGGTTCTGGGCGATGGAACTTCATCATCGCATAAACCAGACGATGAAGATAGTCCCGGGCAAACTTACAAATCATCACCAGGACCGCAGCTATCGCTAACCATTATGCAAGGACAGAATATCGTACCAAGTTATTTGCAGGGTGAGAGTGGCTTGATTTCACTAACATGTGCAATTTATTGATTCTGAGATTCTCTAGTTCCGCGTATTGTAATAACCAAGCCGGACGAGGAGATCGATGAAATCAACCCCGTGATCAGAAGACACCAGCAGCACAGCGGAGAAGGCTACTCATCAAGGGAAAGCAAAAGCCGTATGAGATACCCTCTACCTTCCACTTCACCCAAAGCCGACGTGAACGAATATATGGAAAACCCAGTGTGCTCAGGAGCTCCCAATTCACCTGTGATGAATAAGCGTCAGCCCTCTACGCCATTAACTAGCAAATTCTCAGAAGACTTCGACGAACCAGGCTCTAAATCCAGCTTTCGGTCATCGGTTTTATCAGCAATGAGGCTCTCGGGGCTTGGAAGGCTCACTGGAAGCTTTGATAGCGAAGACCCTTTCGATTCAGTCACCACTGACCGTCAATCTGGTCATAATAAAGCGAGACCTGCTAAAAATGGAACTCCCGTTCGAACCGCATCGAGAAAGGAATCGGTATCCTTGGACCGCGCGAAAAGTTATTCAATGGAAAGCACGGAAATTATGTGGACGAAGGCGTTCCGTCAATCAATCGATGGAAACTCGTGTGGTGCCGAATCTGGAGTAAGGCAGTCAAGTCCCACTGGAAAACGAAGCAAGCTTGACGGAAAGACTAATAATAAACATACGAAGAGAAACGAACAGACATTGACCGATGAAACAGATAGATCCAGACGCTCTTCTCGAAGCAATCGGTCGAGTGTTGTGATACCCCCAGAGTCCTGGGCTAATTTCCCGAGCCACAGGCGTGAAAGCCGTCGTGGGAGTACTGAGCACGACGATGTCGTTGCCAGATCTGATTTCGCTATCAGGGAGCTACTTGACGGACTACATGGAGATGCCTCCACTACTAAGAACCCGCAGCAAAATCATCAGGAGGAATCTCTCCGCCAGCGTCTTCCTGGAAGGCTGACTGCGAAAGTTCGGACGTCGTTTGACAGATTTCTCACCAAACAAAACAAAGCGTCCACCGACACAGCATATGGTCTCCACTCGAGTTCAAGTGCAGACAAGGAACTGGGAGATCTCAAGGCAGATATACTCTCTCGCAGCCCTCGTCGCGGTGCGACCCAAAAATATCAACGCCCCGAGACCAGTAAACCGATATACCAAGGGATCCCCGATGCCCCCAACATTCCTCGTCGGGGCAGCATGGACGATCTCCGTGGGAGGAAAGAGACAAGTGACGATCTCTTCAGGCCAGAGGCGAGGGCAAAAATCAACCGTGCGAAGCGCAGAGAGAAGTATAAGACGTGGAGTGGCCGCGAAAAGAGTCACATGGCGGATGTGATGGCGTTGAGGCAGAGCACGGTGGATTTTATGAAGCAGGCGCAGGTTATGGAAGGGGTGGAGAGGGAGAGGGCGTTGAGGGCTGCGGATGAGGTGTTGGAGAGGAGTGTGGTGCGGTAGTGTGGGGGGTGGGGTGTTGAGGTGGCTGGGAGTTGTTTTGGAGGGAGGGGCGTTGCTTGTGGGATTGTATTACCTTCTGTGAGTACTAATGGGGTGGTTGTAGGAGTATTGATTGATAGTAGAGATTATGGTATAAGGTTTGTCAAGAGAAGTTTCGTAAATTGTCTGTGTAGAGATAGGAAATCAAACGTGTTAGGCAGCACAATGTCTGCTGATCTCCATTTGGCAAATGGATGTGTCCACGGATCATAACTTGCTTGATATATAATCTAATACATAAAAGGCGGAAGATGGATAGTCAAACTTGGAGCTGTCGATAACTTATATGATATTTCTGCGCTATAGATACTATCCGATCTATAATTTCGTTAATACCCCTTCTTCCCCTTTGTTACTTGGGCATCTCTCCACAACCATCCCTTTCATGGTTACTGAACTCGCCAATACGAGTTTCAGCGTCCTACCTTTAGGCAAGTCTGCACAGAATCTCCGTTCGTAATTTATGCCTATATATCCACATCAGCAAGCCCATGTTTTCCGGGATGAAGGAAGAGCCGTACAGGGAGGCAATAGTAAATACTATAGCACTTAACAGGGTAAGACCCAAACGAGTAAAGAAGGCGATAGTTATCTTTATAACAGTTGAAGTTATGATAAGTATTTGTTCCCCACCTGATATACATTAGCATGAGACCCGACTTAGGTTTTCATCCACTTTAGGGAGGACGTACCCGGAGTAACTATACAACGCGCGACTCTGAGCAGTAGAGTCGATGTGAGAGGTGAATGTCGTACCACCGCTGAAAGTGCCGCTAATGGCGTTGCCCTCCCAGTTCACGTAGCCGGAGAGGTCGAGGTAGCAGGTGTCATCGGGTTGCTCGCCGTTTTGCGAGTTGGCCCCGTTGGAGTAGTACTAGTGTTGTGTTTAGCGGGTGAGTCGGAGCGGAGTTGGGGGATGAAAAGGGGGTGGGGTGGGAGGTGGGAGGTGGGAGGTGGGGAAGGAAATGGAAATGGAAATGGAAGAAGGGGGAGGGGGATAACGAACGTTCATCTGGGAGTAAAACGGAGTTCCAAATACGTTGCAGTTTGAGAGGTAGACAGTCTCCGTGGCGCGTTTCTCGAGGGGGGCGTCGCCTGAGGGGAAGTCGAGAGATACTGGGGTTGCTGTGGTTGCGAGGATGAGGGATGAGAGGGTGAGTAGGGAGAGCTTCATTTTGTATGAGGCTTGAATTGTTGATGATGGATGTGTTTTGTAGTCCGTGCAGTTCTTCACAGAGACTATAGTCGAAGTCGGCGATGAGAGAATCTGGGCCTTTTATATGCTCTGTTCATATACACAGCGATGAGAACCGTTAAGCTCTTAGCCGTAAGCTTATTCCACCCCACCCTTTTCGAATTCAATATTTAGCTGCAACGCAATGCAGGTCGATTACAGCATCCGCCCTGGTGATCCCCGTGGACAAGCCTTACATTCTAACGGGTCGGTGTCTATCATTCGGTCTGGCCAGAGGAGGCACTCGCATTGGCAGCTGGTTGGGTAGGTGGTTTTTGCCAAGATGGTTAAGCAATCGGGTGAAATGCTCCATGTCTGTTGAATGCTCGAAGAGGATACCCGGTGCATGGCCTCAGTATCTATACCTCGGTTATAATCAGATGGTAATTAAATGGCGAAACTTATATTGCATATACCAATAAAGATGCGGGGCGCGAGGCTGTCATCGCAGTGCTTGCATCCAATATCAGAACCGCACATTCTTATTGGGGGGCTGGGCTGACCTGGTGTATCTGAGAATTGGGATGCACCCGCGGGTCTCAGTAATCGCCGCTATTAAAGGGCAAGTTGCGGTTAAGAGATTCCCTAGCTAATCGGAATGCGTCCTACTCATAGAATGCCCCATGCTTTTCATTTAGACTTAAATGGGGTCTGAAACGGATCCTAGTCTTCTCGGACCCATTCTTCCTCTTTTCGAGACCCACCATAGCGCATATTTCAGGGGTGTTGAGCCACGAGCAACTTCGGAGTCTTTATCACAACTCACACATAAGGCTGAGATGTAAAGACTAGTAGTTAATGATGAACGAGAAGCTGAAGAACTATCAATTGTAAGCGTTATGCAGCATGCGGCAGCTAAAGTACTATAGGGACCGGGCCGAGACTTTGGTGTGGCAGGGGGACTGTCCCGTGGAGTAAGTATGCAACCATCGCCATTAATTTCGACACACTATGTGATTCGTTAAAATGATGCCTCTGGTAAGCCCTCGTGGTATTGCCACCGATACTCGTCCAACAGAAATGCAATGTCGGTAGCTTTAATCTCGATAGTGTATGGATGCCTCCTTACTCAGGTTAGTTACGGCCGTCACGTGGCGCCCTCGAGACTCGGGCCGTTACGGTTTAATCGCGACTGCAAGCCTAAGGCACGCAGCGCAAGGAAGCCTTAGGCAAACAGGGAGTTAGCAGAGTCGGGGTTTCAGGTATTTAAGGAAACAGGAATAGAGGGTTATACCTTCATCTTTTTTGTATCCTTCGTAGTAGACCTATAGGATAGAATACAGCATTACCTCCAACTCGCACTCCTACATGCACCTACAGAGAGCCGTATTCCCTGTGTTCTTACAGATAGCTTTAATCCCGATAGTGAGTCCTTTCCCACCGGACTCCGGCCGGCTGCGCTTTTATTATCACTGAATGTGACTACTAGTTTTATTAATTGTGTTATATAACAACCATACCAACTAGAAATTGGGAAATATCTCATCCTGATATATGTAAACTAAGGAAAAAAGAAGAGGTTCTGTTAGCCGCCCATGAAGAGGGTGTTTACCGATAACGTTACGAAGTAGTGTCCGCACTGCAAAGACCCATGGATCACCACATGAAGCAAGGCGTAAAACGTATCATATAGGTGGCTATTGGTGATCAAGTTCCGAAATATGGAGTCGGGACCAATGTGGAAGGAGAGGATTTAACAAAGACAGTCGGTACTGACCAAAGACAGCGACGATGACTCCGCTACAATGAACAATCTCGGTCATCCGTCGAAGGCAACATGTTCATATCATTAAAAGATGGGTATTATATGTTATACGCTACAGATTGTGTGCTACAATTTACTCATAGTCCCCGAAACCGGGCTGCTTCCGGGCTTCTTCTACCCTATGCGCTTATGTAATCATACATAATGGGCTGGAGCAATCTCCGCTCGTATCTGTCCTTCCATCCATCCATTACAGCTACTATTCTGCAGTTCTACTTTTGGACTGCCTATCCTCTCCATCCATGCTACCTGTTGCTGTCAAATCCAAAGTCAGTATGGGTTTCTCACTGGGATGTGCATGAGATGAAACGCCTCATGGGACGGGCTGGTGACGATGATTACCGATTGGGGAAACATCGGAACCGTGGGGTAGATCCGCACTAAGTAAATATGGAAGCTGGCATCGCCGAAAGGACGAGGCGCGTCGCATTTGTTTGTCTCGCTCAAATCCCGGGGCTGTCATCACACCACTCAGTGGTCATTCCTTCAATTTTTAGTTATAAATGGTGTGGGGACAACGCTACAAATGGCACTCCAACGCAGCATCCGAAACTCCGCGGTATCGGTGGATCGGCCCTGTGGCGGGGTTGAATATAACACGCCGAAACTAAGGCCGGAGAAGTTCCAGCTCGTGGGGGAATAAATATCGTACTTCAATGGCCCTTTCTCCTTCTTAAAATACATAAATCAATCCTACGGGCAATAATTACTATACAGAATGGCTCAAGAAAACACAGAACCACCGACGCCACCGTCGCCGATTGAAACCCTCGACATTGAGGCGGTACTCGCGAAGCTTAGTACAAGTGAGAAAGTTGATCTCTTGGCTGGAATTGATTTTTGGCACACAAAGGCAATTCCAAAGCATGGAATCCCCTCACTTCGGTTTACTGACGGGCCCAACGGCGTCAGAGGAACTCGATTCTTCAACGGCGTGCCAGCAGCCTGTCTCCCATGTGGTACCGCGCTTGGTGCAACATGGAATGTCCCACTGCTCCAGGAGGCAGGTACTCTGATGGGCAAGGAAACCATTGCGAAAGGCGCGCACGTGATTTTAGGACCTACAGTGAATATGCAGAGAAGCCCACTTGGAGGAAGGGGATTTGAGTCATTCTCAGAGGACCCCGTGCTCGCAGGAAGCTCTGCTGCCGCCATAGTTAACGGAATCCAAGAGACCGGTGTCGTTGCTTCAATCAAGCATTTTATCGCCAACGACCAGGAGCACCAGAGGATGGCGGTTGACTCAATAATTACTGAGAGAGCACTGAGAGAGATATATTTGCTTCCCTTCCAGATTGCTGTTAGAGATTCAAAGCCTGGTTCGTTTATGAGTTCATACAACAAGCTCGGCGGGACACATGTTAGTGAGAATCCTCGCATCCTGGATGATATTCTGAGGAAGGAATGGGGATGGGAGGGACTAATCATGAGCGACTGGTAAGTCATCTTCCCAGATATTCAAAGAATATCGCGTGTAGCTTCATTGAAACTCATCATATATCAATAGGTACGGGACATACTCAACAAGCGAGGCGATGAACGCAGGTTTAGATTTGGAAATGCCTGGTCCGTCGAGATGGCGAGGACAGTTGGTGAATCATGCTCTTATGGCCAATAAGATCTCAAAGCAAACTCTGGATGCGAGAGTCCGCGAAGTTCTACGGCTCGTGAGCCGAGTTGCAAAAACCGGAGTCCCTGGGAATGCCCCAGAGGGATCGAGAGATACCCCAGAGACATCAGCACTCCTAAGGAAAATTGGCGGGGAAAGCATTGTTTTACTCAAGAATGACAACAAGGCACTCCCATTGGATAAGTCTAAGACAGTAAGTCATCGGCTTTGTTGCTATCTTTCCGCAAGCGACCGCTTCTAATGCTTACTTAATTTTAGGTCGCCGTTATTGGTCCAAATGCGAAGATAGCAGCTTACTGTGGTGGTGGCTCAGCTACGCTACTCCCATACTACGCTACAACGCCGTTCGATGGGATTGCGGCAAAGGCAAGTGAAACAAAATACTCGGTGGGGTGCTACTCTCACGTCCTCCTCCCACTGCTTGGTCAGAATCTGAAAACAGCGGATGGAAAAGTTGGTGTCACATTTAAAGCCTTTACCGACCCCGTTGAAGTCAGTGACCGAGAGCCGGTCGATGTCATCCACCTTGCTGATACTTACATGTATCTCGTCGATTATTACCACCCGAAACTCACGGAAGATCTCTACTGGACAGAGGTTGAAGGCTTCTTCACTCCAGATGAGGACGGAGACTTTGAATTTGGCCTGACAGTCCACGGAACCGGCAAACTTTTCTTGGACGACGAACTTCTGATTGATAATGAAACGGTGCAGCGAAGCGGTGGAAGCTTCTTTAATGTCGGTACAGTAGAAGAAGTGGGCGTGAAGAACCTCAAGGCTGGGCAGACTTATAAAATCAAAGTCGAATACGCCAGTGGCGTCACCTCCAAGCTCTCAGATTCTGACGGCGTTGTATCGTTTGGAGGCGGTGGGATAAGAATCGGTGGCGCCAAAGTGATTGACCCAACAGAGGAGATTGAGAAGGCAGTAGCGTTAGCCAAGAGCGTCGATCAAGTCGTGATCTGCGCTGGCCTTAACAAGGACTGGGAGCAAGAGGGACATGATCGGGAGCACATGGATCTTCCCGGCCGCACGAATGACCTGATTTCTGCGGTTGCAGATGCCAACCCTAACACAGTCGTCGTTATCCAGTCTGGATGCCCAGTCCGGATGCCGTGGGCCGACAAAGTCTCGAGTTTGGCGCAAGCGTGGTATGGTGGCAACGAGACTGGCAACGCCATCGCTGATGTGCTGTTCGGAGATGTTAACCCATCAGGAAAGCTGCCGCTGTCGTTCCCCGTTAGAAACGAAGATAACCCCGCCTTCCTCAACTACCGATCATCGCATGGCCGCGTCCTGTACGGCGAGGATATCTACGTAGGATACCGCTTCTACGAAGCAACCCTGAAGGCCACACAGTTCCCATTCGGACACGGTCTCTCGTACACCACCTTCCGCCTCTCCGAACTTGCGGTTACCAACGACGGGACAAACTTAACTGTGCAAGTGCTCGTTGAGAATACTGGTGACAGAGATGGGTCAGAGGTCGTGCAGGTGTACATCGCGCAGCGTGCTCCTTGTGTCAAGAGACCCCTGAAGGAACTCAAGGGATTCACAAAGGAGAATATTGCGGCTGGACAGTCGAAGGTCGTCACAGTCACTATCGAGACGAAGTATGCTACTAGCTACTGGGACGAGGAGAGGGATACATGGGTCTCGGAGAAGGATACGTACGATGTTTTGGTGGGGACGACTAGTGCAGAGACGCCGCTGAAGGCAAGCTTTGAGATTGAAGAGTCGAAATGGTGGCGGGGACTATAGAGGTAGAGTAAGGGGCATATAGGTAGCTTTACGAACCATAGGATTCAATTTAACGTATTCATGACACTGCGGATAGCAATCGGTGTGCATAATAACTGTGATTAAAAATAAAGGCGCTCAATCACTCAGGGCTATATACGTGGTTCTTCAAAATTCCCGGTGCCACAAACCCCGCCAGCGTCTCCAAGATCTGCAATCGATCCATCACATCCCTCGACTCCCCCTTCCAAAACCCTAACATAGCCATCACCTTCGCCACAGCCTTTTCCCATCCCTCTGGCATCAGCGGTGCCAGGTCCGCACATCTCGCCGTCGCCAGAAGCACAAGCGCACTACGCGTGCATGACCGTAACATAAGCCACGTCCCGTGGTGCCGGTGGTAGAACCCATCCTCGTTGATCTCGACGCGCTGTACGCACACCTGCAGGCCCTTGCGCACGAAAGCCTCGGTGGAGCTACCGCGAGCGCGGCCGTGCACAGCGTCAACAACAAAGTGCCAGTACATCATCTCGTTGCAGTCTAGGAGATGGCCGTGGAGGATAAAGCGAAGGGCGGCGTATTGCTTGTGCTCTGGGTTGGTGGTTTCGAGAGAAAGGGCTGCAGGGAGGGATTGGATCCTAGGAAGGGGGGGTTAGTGAGGGTTACAGTGAATAAAAGGGTTGAGATGGAAGACATACCAGCCGTCTGCTTGGCCTTCGAAATCGAGGATTGCGTCTTCGATGTTGGAGTCTGAGTCGACGGAGGAGTCGTATCGGTAGATGTAGTTTAGTATGCGATTACCTAGGCGGCGTAAGGCTATCTCGGCCAAATAGAAGAACCACATCGCTTCGCCTTGAGACTTTAGTCCTTCCGGGGGTGACGGGAAGAGGGCGGGATATGTCAAGTCCCACACGCTCTTCTCAGATACATTTAGCTCCAATCGAAGCTCTCTGTTACGGACTCCGTTAGAACAAGTTTGCTCTCAGTGGCTGTAGTGGGAGGGCCTACAATTCAGACTTGAAGCACGTCCAGTAAATGCTTTGCTCCATTCTGGACTCTTCTTCAGTTCGAGCGTCCCGGACGGAGAGGTGTGGAGAGAAAGCTTGACAACACGCCAGGGCCTGAACAAACATCTTCCATGCCTCAATTGGTCGTAAAGTTGCCATGAGATAGACGCCAGCAAGGAAAAAGCATTGTGCTTCTATGACGCCGCTACCACATAGCAGCATACCCATCCGGTTCTGAGCTGCAAAGAAGAAGGACTCCGCCTGAAGGAACTCGGGTGACTGCCGAAAGCCTGAAGCCGTGATCTTGGGTAAATTCCCGTATGGGTCTGCTATGGAACCAAGAGCGTAGATCAGAAGCTACTAGTGTAAGCCCACTTGTCTCCCGTCAGGATTCGGCGATTTAGTTACCAGTAAGCACGACTGTGCGTCCCATCCGAGTCCATTGAAGCTCGCTGCTCTCATATACTCCCGCACTTTAGCTTCCTCGAGAATAGGATTGAAAATGTGAACATTATCCAAGAATTGTTGTAGCAACTGGCCAGCCGCATAGAGTCCGAAATCTGCAGGAATAGGTAAAGTCGGTGAAGCGGCATTGCTCTTGTCTGATCGGAGGAGAGACCTCAAATCCAGCCTCTCATCGAAGTTCTGGTCATCGAAGACAGGCCAAGTGAGAACAGTTTCTATGTTGATATAAGATGGCCGCCATTCCGCAGGCCTCTCTAGTGACGCAGGAGCAGGGGTCTTGGGGATGGACAGGGACACGGAGGGGGAGGTCAGGCTATCATTCTGGTCTTGAGAAACAGTCGTAACATTTTTCCGGAGAAGCTCTTCCAAGTCATCCAGCCGCTGAAGGATGGTCAAACTGGCTGGATCAAACCTGCATCCAAGTCAAAATAGGCCCGCACCAGACTCTCCTGTATGTACATACGTGGAGTGATCATTTTCCTGATAGATGCATTCTACCCCTAAGCCCGCGCACTTTCCGCATGCTGGTCGCGAATTATCACATTTAGTGCGACGCAGGCGACATGTCCGGCATGCCTGTATCGCACGTTTTCGCGGATACGCGGCCTCAGCCCTGGAGTGTTGGCGCTTCCGCGGCGGCTTCGTAGCTACAGCAGCGGGGCTAGTAGGCTGATGAGAGTCAGATTTAGGGTTTGACGAGGCAAGGGACAGGGTCGGTGTCTTGGGCTGGGTCTGGATCTGCGTGGTGCCCGGGGATTCCTGGATATCACTTGGGTGGACAATATACTCCATCTCCATAGTTTCGGTTTTCGATTCGACTAGCGCGAGCGCGAGCGCTGAGTGTCGCTATCCGCTACCCACAGCGTATCGGTAGCGTGTTAGTCGATGGGTTCCACGTGGTTGGTCGTGATTGTTCTTAGACACAAGAAATGGCAAGCCTTTCCCTACATATAATCAGCGGAGTTGCGGACAAAACAGTGCCGGTGCTACTGGGGTCCTACTGTGGCAGTTCTAGCGCCACACCCCCCGCCTTCTATCGGGGCAGCTTCCTATTTAAGCAAGGCGTATCACTGAAACTCTGGGCTGCAACTCGGCAAACTCGGAGGAAAAGGCCCTATTCTGATTAGTACGGGATAGGCGTGTTTCTCCCAATCCCATCCTGGAGCTACCCTTGCGCGTCCTGTGTGATTTCTCGTTCGCGGAATCTCGGACTGTGACAGCAATCCCACTTGTCCCACAGATAATTCAAAGTAAGGGACTCCCCGACTTGCGGGGAAGCAACAGCCACCTATAGAGTAGGGCCGAAAGCTGCTCGAGTATGCGGGGTGCGGGGAATAAAGGGGGACAAACGGCCCGCAATTGACAGATCAACGCACTTGACAGCTCTGTGCTACCCTCGTGGGCATCTTTTTTGCCGAAGCACGTATTGGATTTCTGCAGAGTATATAACCACAACGTGGGTCACCGATATTCCAGAACCAGATCAACAGACCGACGATCGATCTTCTCTCGTCTGCTGTCGCCAAGACCTGAACAAGGCAACACGCCTCGCAGCGCCTGTGCTACCGACAACATGGCCGAAGAAATCAACGAGAAATCTGCGACGCAGGTCACCGAGGACAAGGCAATTCCCAGCGACTGGAATCTTCGCGATGTGCTTCCTAAAGACTCCCCGCCGTGGTACAAGCAACGACATCTCATACTTCTCAACCTGGCCATGATAATCCCCGCCCTCTCGAGTACAACTAATGGTTACGATGGTTCTATGTTAAACGGTGAGTTGCTGAGTTCCTCATACCGCCCAAACGTCCGAACGAGGAGTGTACATCCAACGAGGGTTCATAGCTGCTATCATGTCGGCGAGCATTTACAGCTGCCATGATACTGGCTGGTGCTCACAGCTACACTATCATGCCAGCGAGTATTTACAGCTACTGCGATTGAAGCAAATGCGCTTAATCACTCAGGGCTACAATTGTCATATTTTAACTAGAATCAATTCTCAGTCCCAGACAGCCCCTACTTCGGACTTTTAGGCCGCATGAGTACCATCAGCTATTACATTTCTAATTATTTTCCTATAGGTTTACAATCAATGGACCAATGGCAGAATTACTTCGGCTCTCCCACAGGAACCCGGCTAGGTTCCCTCGCAAACGGCACCATCTTCGGACAAATTCTCGCCTTCCCAGTTGTGCCGTGGCTATGTGATCACACAGGGAGACGGTTCCCAATCTTTTTGGGCTCTGCACTGCTTGTCTTTGGTGCCATTCTCCAGGGGGCGGCTCAGAACTACGGAATGTTCCTCGCTTCACGAATGATAATCGGTTTTGGAGGTCTAATCGCCGTGGAACCGTCTCCTTTGCTCATCAGTGAGCTGGCTTACCCAACGCACCGCCCAGTTATAACGGCATATTACAACAACCTCTGGTATCTAGGCGCGATAGTGGCAGCGTGGGTCACGTACGGAACGTATGTTCGCCTTTTATTCTCTTATTGCATAGTTTACTAACATTTTATAGATATTGGATGGGGCATAACAACTCGTGGGCGTGGCGAATCCCCTCAATACTCCAAGGATTCATGCCACTTATCCAAGTTCTCTTCGTTTACCTACTTCCCGAGTCTCCGAGATACCTAATTCTGAAGGGAAAACATGACGAGGCACGAAAAGTCCTTGTGAAATACCACGCCGGTGGAGACGAGGCCTCGCCTCTTGTGGAGTTTGAGATGAAAGAAATCACGCTACAGATTGAGGAGTCAAAGAACATATCTGGAACAGGCTATTTGGAATTCTGGAGGACTAAGGGCAACAGGCACCGCCTGTTCCTCATCTGTGTAAGTTATCTTCTTGTTATCTCCGATACCAGATCATTCCTACGGGTCTTCTTCTTTAATTCCATGCTAAGAGGCCTTATTTTTTAACCCCCACGCCGAGGGACCCCCTTCTTCAAATATATCCCCATAGCTCCCCTACTTTTAACCCATACTAACAGGTATTCTTCGACGACAGATCGTGCCTGTGATGATGCAGTTAAGCGGAAACGGGCTCGTCTCTTACTATCTCCATTTGATTCTTGATTCGATTGGATACACCTCTGCACCAGCGCAGCTCCGTATCAACGGTGGGCTCATGGTTTACAACTTCGGCATCTCCATCATACTAGCATCATTTGTGGAGATAGCGGGACGACGCCGTTTGTTCCTAATCTCCACTGTCGGTATGCTAGGGTCTTTCATTATCTGGACGGTGCTTTCAGCAATCAATGAGCAACGTGGCTTCGCAGACACTTCTCTCGGCAGCGGCGTTATCTCAATGATCTTCTTCTTCTACCTCTTCTACAACATGGGGTTGAATGGCCCGCCTTGGTTATATGTCTGCGAAATCCTCCCAACGCACCTCCGGGCTGTAAGTCTATCCTCACAAATTTTGATACAGTGAATTAGAGCTTCGCTAACTCTTAACGAAACGATCAGAAAGGGGTTAATATCATGCAAATCGCAGCAACTTGCGTGCTGATCTTTAACGGCTACGCAAATCCCGTGGCCATGGAGGCTATTTCCTGGAGATACTACATCGTATACATCTGTGTCCTTGCTGTGGAAGTAGTCCTCGTCTTTTTCTTTTTCCCTGAAACCAAGGGGAAGACCCTTGAGGAGGTGGCGTTTATATTCGATGGTGATACAGCATTTGGGAATAATCACAGCAGCGATGTGATTGTCGGCAGGGACAAGGAAGCTGATGTATGATGGCTTGTGCTTGCTTGGTGGGAAACCAAAGTCGATCTTGAGTGGAATGGGGTTCTGGGAATATCTCCGTCTCCTTATTTTAATAGCTGTTTCAAGTGCTCATTATTAGCTTAATTAATCCCTATGAAACATCCAAAATCCCGATATCGGTGTCTCTTATAACCGACTTATGCGATCAAGCGGGAACCCCTTTTTGCTTAGTCACTGTACACCACAGCATACGCTGTAGGCTGTGTTAGATGCCATTATTAACCCATTGCAAATATGTCGCAACAAACCAATTTAAATGTAAGTTATAACCATTGTCTTCAGTTCATATACTAATAACAACATTATGGATCCTAGAGTCGGTTGGGACATATAAGCTGGAGAGTTGCTGTTCCTTAGGTCACATGACATACTTCGAGTACTAAGCATTGTGTCATCATAATCACTTCGATCCCCCGAGTACTGTAGCCCCGCACTGTTCTCTGTAAACCCCTCATCAATCCCCATAGTTTGCAATTCAGCAAATAACGCCCATCATGACCGAACAAGTTGCCTGGGTTGGACTCGGGAATATGGGCCGGGTAGGTTCTCTCATCCTCATAGAGAAACACAGAAATTCTAACGCCCCAGCCAGGGCATGGTCCGCAACATCGTCGAGAAATATCCGCTTCAATCACCCCTCATAATCAACAACCGCACATTTGCTCGCACCCAATCCTTCGCTGCCACACTCCCATCTTCCAAAGTCGCCCCCGTGGCCACTCTTGAAGAGGTCTCCGCAGCTTCTATCATAATCACATGCGTTGCTGACGATGCTGCCATCCTGGCCACCATCGAGTCCATCCTCTCATATTCCCCATCCCCAACTCTCTTCATAGACTGCTCTACAGTCCACCCCTCTACCACTGCTTCCATCTCGTCTCTCGTCACAGCCGCAGGCCACAAGTTCGTCGCCATGCCTGTCTTTGGAGCGCCAGCAATGGCAGATGCAGGAGCCCTCATCTGCGTCCCGGCCGGCCCGCGCTCCTCTGTCAAGCTCGCCCTCCCCATTGCCCACGCCGTTGGCCGTGCCGTCATCGACCTCTCCGATAAGCCCTACGAGTCTGCGTCGACTCTCAAGATCATCGGGAACACCTTCATTGTCAACATGGTCGAACAGCTCTCAGAGGGTCACGTGCTGGCTGAGAAGTCGGGGCTGGGATCTGAGCAGCTACATAAATTCATCGAGGCGATCTTTCCAGGTGTCTATACAGACTATTCAAACCGCATGATGACTGGCGTATACTACACGCGCGAGGAGCCTCTGTTTGCCGTTGATTTAGCGAGGAAGGATGCGAGGCATGCGATGAACCTGGCGGAAACGGCAGGAACTCGGTTAGAGAATGTAGAGACAGCGGATAGGCATTTGGTGAAGGTGAAGGAGTATAGCGGGGAGAAGGGGGATATAGCGGCGATTTATGGCGCTGTGAGACAAGAGGCAGGGTTGCCTTTCGAGAATCAGAAGAAGGGGGAGTAGAGACGCTGGTGTGAATGCGGCATGATAACTACTAAGACCAATTGTAGTTTCAACAACCATGAAAGGGCGCTACGATTTAGATACCTTAGAAATATGCTAGGAAACAGAGCGCTTGTTGTTGAGTCCACTTCGTCGGTAGATGACTAAATTTGAAAGCAACTGAGTTATCTCGTGCACCCAGATAATTAGGGATAGGACTCTATATGCAACCACCATAGGGGCTCAAAGTGGCTTATAAACCCTACTGTTTCTTAATTTTTTCATAGCAACTATAAATTAAATATGGATTCTTAGTTCTTTAGGAACTATTTTTTTTCCATTACTTGTTGTTACTAAATAATTAAGTTGGAGGGAGCGATAATATTAGTTGCAAATATAATGTGTGCATCCCTGCGACAAATATTGGTACTTTGAATTTAATTGATTCTAAATTTGTGAACCCATTGAAAATTCCAGTATTTTATATTAATTATGTTGTGTGATCACTCCTGAGCAGTCCAAACTCCAGCTACTCTGAGATTTACTATCACGTCGTCGCCGTCGCGCCTGATTGCGGAGGGCGTCAATTCGTAGTATGATAGAACCCCTTGACCTACAGCATCACCACAAGCTCATTACGCCTTTCCAACTCATTTAACACTTTGATCTGGGTTTCCGAGCCTCACTATGACGCTGAAAAATAATTTTCAGCCTTGTGGGGACTAGGGAGTGCTGTGTCATGCGACATTACCATATGAGTTGATACCTCCAAAGTTGGGATCCCTTGGCAATAAAAGGTGGCTGTTGAGCTGTGGTTGTGTGTGGCGGCCTAGTACAGCTGTTTGCACGGCTGGCTTCCCCTGCCCTAAATTTTTTAACTTCCTGCCGACCACGGGTTCTCGGACTACTGTCCAAATGCGGCTAAGCGCAGTACCTGGCCATCTCAATCATCAAGTGCCTCTTTCGAAGGCTCCAGATATGTATTACAATGGCATGCTAAGCCTATTCGTACTGTACTTACAGCACGGCATACAGTTGTGGGCAAAACCACCTTTTCTTTCGTGTGTGGTGACTGGAACTTCTACCTTGCTCTTAACTAGGGTTCCCGGCCCATCTAACCCAATATACTTACATGTCTAAACACTCAGCATAAATAGCGCGTTAGTGGACAATAGGTATCAGAACCACCACGTCGATCGACGCAGGACGACCCGATCCCTCATTTGTGGCCTTATCGCTTCAATGCTTATCACTTCCGCTAGCTAAATCTATTAAGTGAAGCCAAACGACACTACTTCATACGGGGATGTATAAGTAGCAGAATGAATTTAAATTCCTTCAATATAATGGCTACGGACAAAGCTTCACCTAATTATTTGTATTGCCCTTGTCGACGGTCATTTTGCATAACCACACCGCCTCTCCCCTCACTGCCTGCATTGTGATGCACAGCAGATGTTTCACAACGTGACTGCCAGTCTTTCGTAGCTGAGGATACGGCGCTTTCTTTTACTGCACGTCCTGAGTCGTTGCCGGCACATTTACGATTTTCCGATTGGACATGATGCTCATCATTTCCTTGTCAGTAATGCCCTCGGCATGTCACACAATGCAAAAGAATGGAGGTCTGGATCTTTGTCGGTGTCAGAGGTATCTGGACAAAGGAGGGGTAGCGTCTATAAGCATATATAGACCATACCTCTCTTGATTTGTGCTGTAGTGTCGATTAACGCTACAGTCGAATCTTCTGTGGTTTCATTCTGCTCTTATTCAAGTTCAAGGTCTCCTTGCTGCTCCTTTTATAGCTTTCAACTCCAACACAGCCTATACATACAACTATTCCTTAAGCCATGGCAGAAAGTGGTAAGTCAATGGCTGTCAAGATATCTACGATATCTCCCTGCTACAAATCTATATTCCTTGCCCTCTGGCTACAGTTCTGATCACAATTATTATAGAAGCACCTACACCTAGCCCTAGGATGATCCTTGAAGAAGTCAGGATTATCTTCGAGAACCGACCTGGAGGGGACATCGTGTATCCCCTTACGTCGCCTGAGGAGATAGAGAAGGCGGCTAAGAGCCCTTATATACTCAAAGAGGGCTGCCACTATAAGATCAGGGTAACATTCAGAGTGCAACATGACATTATCTCTGGTCTTACAAGCCAAACCTCGACTTTCAGAAAAGGATTACGTGTCGCGAAGGACCAGCAGATGCTGGTAAGTTACAGCATTATGATGGCTATTGAATAGAGGAGCTTATAACGAAACCAACAGGGTTCGTTTGCGCCACAGTCTAAGCTACACGAGGTTACTTTTCCCCGTAAGTGCTGTATCGCGATTCTGAGATTAAGGTTAAAGACTAATTTCCCTAAGGCCATGGATGGGAAGAAGCCCCTTCCGGGATGCTCTCTCGTGGAAGCTACACCTCGAGACATAAATTTGCCGATGATGATTCTGTAGTGCATGCTGAGTGGGAAATGGCATTCGATATCAAGTCTGAGTGGTAGTCAAGTAGTAACACGATCCCCAAATATACAAGTTAGCTTTACGACTAATTAATTGACCTGAGTGCCCTGTTGATGCTAGACGATGACACGAGGACGTCGTATTCTTCCCATAAGAAGACTGCCATCTCTTCTTATGCCCTGCTATACCCGAAATAGCAGGCCATAGTTCAGATTAGCCAGCTTATCGATAAGGCCGTCGGTGGTTGATAAATTTTTGCCGACATAAAACTCCCCTCATCGTCAATGAGGGCTATGATTTAATCACCTCCATCGACCTCTATATGGATCCATACCTGCAGAAATCACTCCTCAAACTTCTAGAAAGTATAAGTATATCGTAGAGCCCCTACTATCCCGAGATGGACAAAATCCGGGATATCCACTGTGGAGATGAAGTTTGCCATCATAGCCCCCCCGCCTTCTTGCCCCTCCTGTTCGTTCGGAATATTTTTGGCGTTTCGGGGGACTGAGCGGTACGGCCCGGGCAGCCACGGCCTATCAGTGCACGTGGGCTTGTCAGTCTCCAGCGTGTGGACAAGCGATCACCGATCCTTAGCCTGTTATTGGATCTTACCCCGCCTTAATTTGGGCCCTGGGCGGATCTATAAGATATTACGGCCACAGCAGGAGAATGGACCATATATTTATTCAATATCTTTGTCACTATGTATGACGATTATAGTAGCATCCACGCCGACTGCACTTTTCTCACTGTCGTAAGACTTTTATAGAAAGTCGGACTAGAGGCAGCCACCCAGGCAACACTTAATCTTCCTGCCTGTCCCACAGCACACTCCATCACCGCAAAAGTCCTCCTGGCAGGCTTGATACCCGGATGGGCAATTAGAGGGCCTGCATATCGGAGCACTTCCAATCCAGTAGCACTGTGCTCTGCCAGTGTTGGCGTGTTTTGTCAAGATGTTAGAATCTATGCAGATAGTCAGTTGCCGCCTTGCTTGTAAATTACGCATTATATAAGGTATGTAACTTACCGATTGCAGCAGCTGCTGCTAGAGAGAACAAGGCAGAAACGATGAGAATGACAGAACGCATATTTGATGTAATTGGCCGGATTTGTTTGGGTTGGTGGCCGACAAGTTGACGAAGTTGGAGAGATTCGGTATTTACTTCAAGAATGGTGGTGGTATCGAAAGAAAGCGTAATCGTACTTTCCAGTAACTCTTATACACCGCTGACACTCGTGCATATCCGGTAGATTGGGGGTCAAATCTACCTCACTCATCGCCTTGTTGGTTTGAAGCATATTAGCCCGAAGACTCCCGTATAATCATAGTGTTGGGAGACTGTGAGTGGAGGATTCTCTATATCCAACAGCGCGCCTACAGTGCATGGCCAAGCTCGGGTGACAAAATACGACACTGCCCCACTACGAACACTTTAACAAATGAAGCACAGATCTCTACTTTCTCACACAAAAACGCACCCACCCTATTCTAAGGAACAGATCAGCCCCCAGTCTCTGTTACAGTGTGCCGCTCTTTGAAGTTTGATTGACGAATAAGAACACTTTTAGCGCATATTACTGGTGAACCCTAACACCCCAACATGCATTGGTGCTGACGAATCTCTAGTGATTGGTTAGCTTGGAATAGCTGTGTTTCTATTATTACAAATTATGTTGGATCGTGATTAACTATCTATCTAAATCCTGCAGGATCTGAGTTACAGTCAGGCCGAGCTACCCCGCAGGTCTGGATATTATTTTTAGTCACTGGGGAAATCTATAGAGCTTTTAATTTTGCAAAGACAAAATTAGGATATTGATTTCTATTCTTTCCATTATTCTATGATAGAAACCATGGTTTTATGTGGCTGTGAAATCGATGCGAGAGTTATAACTTTTGATTTAGGGTCTATATTCGATCATTTGCTTTGTTCCATCTTCTCCACAAGACCTTTCACCACCTTGTCAAAATCTTCCTGCTCCAGCCCCAGGAAATCATTTCCTATCACCTTTGCTTCATAATCTCCTCCGTATCCTACCCTGGACAGGGTTGTAAACAGCAAATCAACGTTCCCCATCCCATTCCCTTGCCGAATAGCTTCTTTCGCTGCCTCGGCAGCCCTGTCCGGGGATTCCCTCTCAATGGCCCAGTCCGACTCTTTGGTGCTGGTCGCACTGAAGATGCTATCAAAGACGTCGCGTTGGCTCACGAGAAAAGAGCTGAAGTACACGAAGTCGTTTTTGAAAGCGGAGAGTTTGGAGTCTGGCAAGCTGAGTAGCGCCGCAAGAGATTTACCCACTTTACTCAGCGTAGAGGTGTTAAATTTAACCCCGCCATCAAGGAGTTTGGCTTTTCGTGTTTTGATATCGATGCCCATGAAAGATTTCTCGAAGTTCCAATCGAACCATGGACCGTTGACAATACCGATCCAGCTGCTGACGCCCAAACTATCAATTTGGGCTCTGTACTTGTTTTTCATGACCATCAAACCAATTTCCTCGTTTAACTTCTCATGTTTATTGTCGCATGCATACTCGCAAGGAATCACCCACGGGACCCCTGCTTTCGCAGCGGCGCTGATGAGAGGGATTTGAGAGTCGAGTGCCATGTACCCGAGTTGGAGGATCAGCACGTCTTGCCCTTTGAGAGCCTCGACAAGGAATTCTTCATCGTTGTAAGATCCTTTCTTAATAGTGACACCGGAAGGAAATATTGCTGTTGATTCACTGCGCGAGATTGCGGTAACCGTGTGGATGCCATGGGAAAGAAGAGCCTCAACTGTTGGGGAGCCAACGCTACCACTTCCTCCGACGATGGCGATTTTGCGGCTTTGCTTGTCTGCCATTTGAGCGAGTCTATGAGTGTCTTTGGCAGTGATGTGATCGAGGATATTGTTGATTGTATTTTGCAATTGGGTACCTGTCCGTAAATCAAGCGGTTTAAGTATCAGTTTTCTAATATGAAGCTAGCTATAAAATCTACTAATCCGTATGGATTATAAATCGTAACGCCGAAGAGCGAAGCATACCGGGCCAAAACTGAGGTTTCCAAGATACAGTTCTCATATTCCCGTATTTAGGGATTGTGTTAACTCCGACTCGTTTTTATGAAAGGATCAAAACGGAGTTCCGGTTCCTCCGAATACCAGTTAATTAGGAGGACGTTATGCATAAAACAGTCAGAAATGACGTAAGCTTGTGTACCATTGTTCAATTTATCTTCTAGTTTATTTATCCCGTGTATACATTTATTCTGTGTCTGTCTACTACTCCCTACCTTATCCCGACCACACGGCCGGTCCCGGCGGAGTATAACTTGTGGGCTACACGATTGTTAGTTCACCATCTGCTCAACCCAAAAGAACAGAAACTTACAACAGGGTAGTTGATATTGATGAGGATTCCTGCGTCTGACGCGGAATACGCTCCAGGGAATGCAACAAGTGGACCTGGCGTTCCACTTCCACCGCCAGTGACAGTGATCTGCGCACATGAGAGGTAGAATTGTGCAGCTCCAGAGCTTTGCGCAACGTGGAGGGCAATGTGCTCCACGCGGAGCAAGTAATCGCCGTCAGGTGTGGCAGCTGGAATGGTGAAGCCCACAGTTGAAGCCGCTATTCATGAGAACTGTTAGCAAAAACGACCAGCACAATCACTGGCAAAACAACTGGGCCACTTACAGTTTGAGGGCCAGACGAGCTGGGTACCAAGTCCCGATGGTCCATCCTCATATATCTTGAACCAAACGTCACCGCTTCCATCCCAGGTTGCAGCGGTTTGTCCGGATGGCACCTTCGCCAAGTATGCCAGAACCGGGCCAGGGTGGTAGATGTTGGGGCTTGCAGTGAAGCCAATCTCAGAGCCAGCGGCAACCGACAGAGTGCCGGCGGAATTTGTCGAACCGTCTACATTGCAGCGGATGTTGAGGGAGGATACGTCCTCGACGGGGTTGTATGTGTATGAACCAGTCCAGTCACGTACATACTCCCAATCGGCAGACGTCGTCCCTCCGGATATGAGAGCGGGAAAGGTATAATGCGCAGAAGCTGCACCAGCAAGCGCGAGAAGAACAACCGATTTCATGGTGGATTACTGGATATGGAATGAGAATGATGGGAGCTGAACATCATTTCGTAAAGAAGGAGATCTGCCTACTCTTATACAGCAATATGCCTGCTTGGCATAGGATCGGTGTCGGGAACACGGGAAGCAGATAGATGGAACATATGAGGATTTGCATTGATCTTCAATACAACTTCCTATGATCTGCTATATTGACTTCCTCTTAGATCTATCGATGGCGTCGGTGTCCTAGTGACGCATAGGGTGTAAGAATGCCGAGAAACACCACGCCTTCAATCGGCACTTCTCCAGGCTGACATACCCAATGGCAGCAGTTTCCAATATATAAACGTCAGCAGATGACCCAGAATCAGACTTTTGGTGCCCACTTACCTGGAGTTATCAATATACCTGAAATCCGGTTAAAGAAAATCAGGGCACGCCTGTTGCCTTTAGCCATATTGCCGTGTTGAATTGCGCCCACTCGAATTTTACACATAAACCCGGACCCAAAGCGCCAGGATTTATTTATGATGTCGCCTTTGGTTAGTAATAATGGTCGTGTTGGGAAGGAGTAAAAGAGCCGAAAAGTTTGTTTTGTGTCTTTCAGCCACAAAACTGCTGGTCCGATGCGAATCACTAGGATTGGAGACTTAATCGCATCGGAATGGGTACAATAACTGAAAAGGCTCCAAGAGGCGCTGGGAATTGTCCCAAAACACTTCTCGGCCAGTCCCCCGTGAGCCCCTTATGCACAAGGAAGCCTCACATAGCAATATCCAGGGCTGGGAGCTGTAAATTGAAAATAGTTGAACAGACAATTTCGTTACACATCTATTCGCCAGTATCCAAGAAGCTTTAACACCTGTTGAGTTGCTGTATTTATATGGGCGCCTCATGGTGGCGGAAATCGGATTCCTTGGAGGAGATGAATATACAACTCGTAATAGATCCTCGATATATATTTGTAATATCTAAATCCGACTCACTACTCATATACACGCACCTGTCCTTTATAGCTTCGACTTCGGCTTCTCACTCTTTAGCATCTGCTCTGCCACAATTCTGCGCTGGATTTTTCCAGTAGCTGTTTTCGGCATGACCTCCGTAAAATACACCTTCTTGGGTATCTTGAACTTCGCCAGCTTCTCGCTGACCCACCCCCTAAGTTCATCCTCCCCGAGCTTCTGTTCCGGCTTGAGAACAATCGCCACGCCAATGTCCTGGCCATACAGCTCGTCGGGGATGGCAAAGCTGACAGCTTCGCTCACGGCCGGGTGGCGAGCCAACACGTTGTCCAGCTCGATAGGGCTGATCTTCTCACCACCCTTGTTAATGAGCTCCTTAATGCGACCGGTAATAAATACATATCCATCCTTATCCAGCTTTCCTTGGTCACCGGTGCGGAAAAAGCCGTCTTTGGTGAAACTGCTCTCGTTTGCAGCAGGGTTGTTCAGGTAACCCTTTGTCACATTCTCGCCGCGGATGCAGATCTCGGCCTCGGCGCCCTGGGGAACCTCTTTGCCCGCCTGGTCGAGGATTCTGATCTCGACACCTTGGCCGATACCAACGCTGCCAGGTTGACGCTTTCCAGGTGGGAGAGGGCTGGATGTCATTTGATGAGCGGCCTCAGTCATGGCATAGGCCTCGAGGACAGGGGCGTTGTACTGCTCCTCAAGCTGGTGGAAGGTTGTTGGCGAGAGAGGCGACGAGCAAGAGCGAATGAATCGAATGTTGGGTTTGGTGGACGGAGGTGGGTTCCTGAGAAGGATCTGGTGAATGGTGGGCACAGCAGTGTACCAGTTGGCTCTGTGCGTTATGAAGTCCTCCCAGAAGGTAGTTGCGCTGAACTTGGCAGGGACAACGACAGATCCTCCGGAAAGAAGAGGGGCGAGGAACCCGGCGAGCAGGCCGTGGACGTGGAAAAGAGGCATGACGAGCATGGTTCGGTCAGCAGGGCTCAGCTCGTATGTTGCCTGAATGTTCTCTGTCAACTGTTAGCAATTGCGAATCTCCCGCTGGCGGATTTGCATACTCATCGTCCTTGTCAAATTCCTGTGTGTCAAGGGTACCTGCGTCAAGTTAGTTTGATGCACCGTCATGCTTTATGTTGAACAAATACATACAGCCTTTGGTCGCCCTGTCGTCCCGCTGGTGTGCAACACCAAAGCGACGTCGTCTGGCAGTGCCTTCTCGACATTTCGTCCGCCTTTGCCCTTCAGCTTCCCTTGGTCCTTCACATCCAACACAACCTCCCGTTTGTTCCCATCCCAATAGCACTCAGCAATCGCAGCCTGGTATTTTCTCGCCGCTCTCACGGCCGGACCATCCTTTGCGAACTCGCCCTTTGGCACCAGTGCCAGGGCGGACTTCAGGTCATCGATGTAGAACTCAAACTCCTCCTGCTTGTACGCAGAGTTGAGGGGGGCCGCTATGGCGCGCTGCCACGAAGAGGCGAGGAACGAAACAATAAATTCGATGGTATTCGGGAGGGCAATTGAGACCGCGGACTGAGGAGTAATCCCTAACTGGGCGAGCCTGGATTGGAACGACGAAACGAGACGAGTGAGCTCCCCATAGGATATCGTGAGGGGCGTAGGCCCTGGGATGATTACCGCTGTGGCATTATCGGATCGCGGGAAAGAGTTGGAGAGAGTTGTGCCAGACATTTTGTATATATACAGTTGCACCTTTATTTAAACAGCTTCAGGAGCACACGATGTCGTGGAATACCTGTACCTATCCGATCCGAATAAACCCCAGGAGCGGGCACTTATCGCCGAGACTAAGACGCCATAATTGTGGAGCCGAGGCGAAACCCCAAGGTTCCGGTTTTATGATGATCAAGTGAGACATCTCGAGTACGATGGCATGGAGTGTAATTAATTTTTATTTGAATATACACAGTATTCTACAGTATATGGCGAGAGGGAAACTCAAACCACTGTCCATTAATAGCTGTAGGCCCATGCTTGTCGGGATCCTTATCCAGCTACGGACAATAATCTGATCAGCCTAACATATAAACAAATGCCCGATCTCTATAATAGTTTACACTTCCTCATGTGAGGTGCTCATATATCTGCCTTAGAATCCCCATTATTCACCCATCTCAACCTAGTACTATCACCCTGTGCCATATATCGTATATGTTGTATATGTTGTAACGGACCACGCTAGAACGAGTATATGCTGTACAGCCGGCTTGCGTTCTAAGCGCCTAAGAGATGTGCTCTAGAACCATAGTGTTTCTTTATTAACGACTAAACTGCAAAGTGTCAGATATCGGATTAGTCGACATTGAGGTCAGGTACTCATACTGTAACTAAGCATCACGTCCTTGTCTGCCCCTTCTTTCCCGTTGATCGAGCATCTGGCGTTCGTTTCTGGCCCGTGGAATCTGGTTAGAGAGAGGCTTGTCTACCCCCACAAGCACATTGCAAGTCTGGGTGTGGAGTAGTATGTGTGTATCCGTTTCTTGAAGTTTATCCATTCATAGGAATCGATGTCGCACTCTCATGACACTTCGAAGAGGTAGCCCAAGCCGCTCATTGATATAACTCCCTCTTCCGGTGGTATCATATAGATTTTCGTGATTGCATACAGTCCGAGTAGAACGAGTGGTTCGAGAGCCGTGAGCGCGTAGCTGAAGTTCACCAATGTGGTTATGAAGATAAGGAGGTTGAGAATGAGGGATCCGAAGTTGCTGAGTGCCATGATCGCAAGACGGACGCTGAAGCGCAGGAAATGTATTAATAAGACTCCGTAGCTGGTCTCCCTGGTTTTGGTGATAATTGAGCTCCTGACGACTCCAAAGGCAGCCCAGATGCAGGTTCCGGATCTTCCAGGTGGAATTGAAATGAGTTCAATTGCTACGCCGCCCAGAAACCCTGTGGGTTATTGACCCACTTATTTCGTGTAGATCCAACGTTAGGCCATAAATGACAGCGGTGTCCGACGGCAAATAAACCGATCACCCACAACTCTCTCCCAGAACCTCAAAAGGTTGAAGAACTTCATTATGTATGCGAATAACATTATACTCTATGACCTGGTAATCCCGTCTCACCTGGTCTTGCACTGTGCATATTGTCTCTTGCTTTTCATGTCTGTCCTGCTATAAACTTCCCTCACCCCTCTTGTCAGTGATAGAGAGTTCCTTGGTCGAGGTGTCACAATGAGGGGCCGTCGATATGCCCGACGTTTCTTTAAAACTTGAGGCTCTGAAGCTATCATGCCCAGAAGAAAGAATAAAGCTTCTCGTGACGTCGTCAGCCGCATTCCGGCCTCAAGATGACCGTTTTCGGCGGGTGCGTTCTGATGAGCTCCTACATATGATGGAGAGTGGGAAGGTCTGTATCAGCCGAGGACCAGGCTGCGACCTTGGATTCGGGTTTTCATTCAAGAACTTGCAATCAAATGGGCTTGCTGAGAAAGCTCTGGTCGAACAGCTTCGCCGATTTGTTCTTGGAGCACCCGTGAGTTCAGCGTGCATCGTGACTCTCATATTTGTTTCCGTTTCACTGAAGTCCAGCATAGTGGTGGGAACAACTCCCAGTTTCTCCTTCTCTCAATTTTTCTTCTCCCATATGCCCTGATGTGGGACCAACGTTTTCTATCAAGTTACATGACACTTTACCAAGTCTACATTCAAATGGGCATCCGAATCCAGAAGAATCCCCAATCGCCGATCTACATGTCCCGGAATACGTTCCAGACATCAGGCTTATGGGAATCAAGCTCTTCTTTACCTTTGAGCCTACATGCGATACTCCACTGCCAATACTAACAAAAGAAACTGCAACAGAAGATGACATGCTTTTCGAAGATGGCTGCGAGAGTGATCCAGACCTGTTTGAAGATATCATGGACTTGGAAGCATTTGATTCTTCGACGCCTCGCCACGAAGCCCCATTTGATGCCAGCTCCGTATTGGAAGGCAAGTCATGGGAGGATCACGGTTTTGTCGAAGACCAATACTATGCTGATGGATACGATAATACATTGCTATACCGAACTGATCACAGCAGCGTCCATCTACCGACTCCCGAAGCATCTATGACTTTCAATAACCAACAGGACACAAGCATGCTTGATTCCACAGATGATTCCTCAAATAACCTCATTACCGAATCCTCGTTAAATTTAGCAACGGCAAAGCAATTAACGGATGTGGCACTCAGGACTTTGCTTGGTGGGCGACAGACGAAATTTACGCCAAACATCAAGGTCCGCAAGCCACGTCCGAAGCGCCCTCTATCAAGCATTATGCCTCTAATATGGAGTCCAGGCTTCAAAAATGTATGTCTGCCTGTATCCAACCGAATTGATGAAACTGACATATCCATCGCAGGCCATTTACGAACGCTCTGCCTTCATAAACACCATCTCAAGCACCCTCTCCTCCCTCTCCAAAACCAGTCAACTCCCAAGCCTCCAAAAGAAACTTTCCACCATCCACGAAAACTCCCCAGCCCGGTTTGCCCAAACGCACCCTCCCCGACTGAACCAAACACTCCAAGCCCACGTGTTCCGAATGATGCAGACCACCCTCTACGAACCGATCGCAAGCCGCCGTCTTCGACCCAGTGTTATTGAGGAAAGTGGGGAAGAGGAAACGAGAAGCGGGCCTGCTAGTCGGGATCGTGAGGATAGTGGACCGGCTCGGGTGGACATCGAGAATGCGTCGGAGGAGGTGGTGGATGCGGATGAAGGATTTGAGGATTTGTTTGGAGAGGAGTTGTTGTCGGATGGAGAGATGGATATGCTCTTCGATCTTGAGATTCTGCGGAATCGGGGAGAGGGGGGGAGTTGTAGTATGCTTTTTGGGAGTGGAGGAGGGGACTCAAGTATGCTGATGAAGGGCGAAGAAGTGCATGAAGACGGTACCAGAGATGCTGGAGAAGAGGACAGCATATTTTCAACTGGGGATTTCGAACGGAGAGATGGAGACGAGCATATCTTATACGAGCGCGAATCTTGGGAGTCAAGCATTGTGGAGGAAGAGCTGGAAGAAGATGCAGAGATGATAATGGACACCGAACCAGACACAGTCCATGGCTATAGCTCAATGTATTTAGACGATCCGTATATAAATAATGAAGCAATCCTCATTTGACAACCCGCACCCCCATTCATCACTTCATCAATATCCCTCCCTAGCGGCAACAATTATCCCTTGTCACCTCCCAATTACGCCTCGCAAAACGACATGTGAATATCAAGCCCCTCGCCCCCATTCGCCACCAGCTTAAGATCGGTATCATATCCAACGAAAAACGCATAGCCCTCCTTCAACTCCAAATCCACGTCCTTGGCATGTAGCTTCCCCTCCCCCTTCGTCACAACCACAATGCCCGGGCCCTGCAAGCCCGCAATATGCTCCTCCTCCCCGCTCTTCAACTCCGTAACCAGCATATCAAACTCGCTACCCTCCGGCGCATATACCCTCGTATGCCCCTTCAGTCCCTTCGTGCTCACCTTCGGCTTCATCACCATCGACTGCGGGTCCTTGTAGTCGAACGTCAGCGCCGAGGTGAAGAGGTTGATCGATTCCGGGTTTGCGCTTGGGCAGACACCGCAGTTTATCACGTTGTCCGAGGGCGCCATGCACTCGATGATGTCGCCGGAGAGGAAGGCATGGATGCCGTCCGCGGGGATGTAGAGCGCCTCGCCCTTCTTGAGGGTGAGGAAGTTCATGGTAAGGAGCGAGACGAGGCAGCCGGGGTCGGTGGCGCCGTCCTGGTTGGCGATGCGGGGGAGGAGCATCAGGATGTAGCTCTGGTCGCCGTATTCGGAGCGCGGGGCATCGCGGAGCGCGGAGTATACTTCGGCGACTTCTTCCTCCGAGAGCGAGAGCAGCTTGTGGACGATGTTTTTGACGAGGGTTGAGCTGGTGAAGGGTGTTTTCGGCTGGGTGGTGAATCGGTCCCTGAGAAAGGGTATGTCGGTGAAGAGAGCTTCGATATCATCAACATGCTTGAAGCCAACGAAGGCCTCGAAGTCGGTCAGAGCTACTGTAAGCTCGGGTTTGTGATTTGGGTCTCCGAATTTCGAAGGGTTGTGCTTGTGGAGCTTGGTCGCGAGCTCCTTGTCCGGGTGTATTTGGAGGGGGAGTTCGTTCGAAATTGAGATGACCTTTGGTAGGAATGGCAGGTCCGAACCGTACTTCTCAATGACAGCCGGCCCGAGCAGCTTCTCTTTGTTGCCGTCGATCCATTCTTGGAGCTTCTGTCCAGTTGACAGGATGTGTGATGCATTGTTTGGATTTGTGCCTATCCACATCTCCGAGTAATCTTTGCCCGACTCTACCTTGAACTCCTTGCCCGGTGTGGCATCCGCATACCGGGCGGCTAGGGACGACTGTCCCTTCTTCCCCCACGCGTGATTATTGACATGACTCTCCAGTTGAATCACAGACGCCATGATGGAAGGCGTAGGGCAAGAGGGATAGAGTATTGTGAAGGGAGGAATAAAAATAAGTAAAAGAATTGGAGACTCAAGTTAGAAAGAAACAGATCATCTCGCGGAGGTACTGAATATAGTAATGACGTAAAAAGATGGACTGGACATTTATGAGTGACGTTGGTTGGCCGACTCCCCGCGAAAAGTGGCGTTTAGGACAAGGCTGAAGAGGAAAGGTGGAAACAGAGCGGGTTTAGTCCCCCTTGTGTTTTGCCAACATCGCCAATAAGGAAATAGATGAAGCTTGGAAACGACGAAGTTAGGTTTTCTTCGTAGAACTTACTCGTACCGGTATGTCTGGGCATGGCCAACTATCGTGAAGTCCTTGTTGCCCCAAGCCAAACCATTGTTTTGGATAAAAGGATAGTTAGAAAGGAAGCTATCCTTTCGTCCGTCTGAGATTCAAATTGCCCGGGGTTTGGATCTGGAAGACAAGGTGTCTTGAGGCCAAGGTTTTGACTCGACCCGGCCTACCATCGTATATTTGCACACGGCTGGGTGCAGTAGAGACCGCTGGTACTCGTTCACCAGCCAGTTTGGCGGCATATCTAGCCTTTGATATTGGAGTTTTAGGCGTAATTTGCGTGCAAATATCCGTATTATGCATAGCTAATGTTCTGTGAACGTTCAGATAGAGATAGAGTTTGAGTAAAGTGGTGCGATGAAATGTTTTGTAGTGGGTTTTATGCTCCATCGCCTTTTTTTTACTCTCTTCGTACTTCGTACTCCCTGAACCGAAGCCATCCCAATCTGGCCAAGAATCGCAACCTTACTCCTCAGGTTACGTCGGCCGGAGTAACCCAAGTGTGCTGTTGCGACGTTCCCCACTCCCTTTCACAAGCCACAAGCCGAGCTCCGACGTAAAGTGGAGGTCGGTCGCTGTATCGCCGCCCCAGCATCTCTCGAACGTCGCACCCTCCATCAACGAACTGTGAAGTGAAGCTTCAATTGTTCAAATATCACCATGCCGGGGACTTCGAGGATGCCTATCAGCTTGCGCAACACTATTGCGGCGAGGGCCGGCGGCTCGGGTACCCAGCTGCTCTCGCTGAACATCGACCTGTAAGTGCCTCGGTGATAACTCGCGTGGAGCTACGATTCCGATACTAACGCTTTAGTTTAGGCTGCGCAATATCATTTTCTTCCTATTCCTGTGGAGGTGGACGAAGAAGGCATACTTGAAGCTCAAGGGTAGGGGGTTCGCTGGTTCGACTATCGATGGCTACGTTTCGGTCCGACGGACACTCTATGGGCTCTTCCTGAGGGCGCCGGGTGTGCGCACTCAGGTGCAGAAACAGGTCAATGAGGCAATCACAAAGCTGCAGGCGAAGCTTATACAATCTGGACCTGGCATAACGAGACACCTAACCCTTCCAAAGGAGGGCTGGACCGACGAAACAGTGCAGAAGGAGCTGGAGACCCTCGCGAATATGGATCATACCAAGTGGGAAGACGGATACGTGTCTGGTGCTGTGTACCACGGTGGTGACGACCTGATCAAGCTGCAGACGGAGGCCTTTGGAAAGTTCACCGTCGCCAACCCCATCCACCCGGATGTGTTCCCTGGCGTCCGAAAGATGGAGGCCGAGATCGTCGCAATGGTCCTCGGGATCTTCAATGCGCCGCCCGGAGCCGCAGGTGCCACCACAAGCGGAGGCACCGAGTCGATCCTTATGGCCTGCCTCAGCGCCAGACAAAAAGCCTACGTTGAGCGTGGTGTCACTGAACCCGAGATGTAAGCCACCCACTCACCCGCCCTCCATCCAAACACACATACTAACGTCCCTCACAGGATCCTCCCAGACACTGGCCACACCGCGTTCCACAAAGCCGGCCACTACTTCGGAATCAAGGTCCACCTCGTCGCCTGCCCCGCGCCATCCTACCAAGTCTCCATCCCCGCCGTCTCGCGCCTCATAAATGGCAACACGATCCTCCTCGTCGGCTCCGCCCCCAACTTCCCCCACGGCATCATCGACGACATCTCCGCGCTCTCCAAGCTCGCCGTCGCCCGCCGCATCCCCCTCCACGTCGACTGCTGCCTCGGCTCCTTCCTCGTCCCCTTCCTCGGCGCTGCCGGCTTCCCCGCACCGCTCTTCGACTTCCGCCTCCGCGGCGTCACTTCCATCTCCTGCGACACACACAAGTACGGCTTCGCGCCAAAGGGAAACAGCACCATCCTCTACCGCTCCGCGAAGCTGCGCACATACCAGTACTTCATCGCGCCAGACTGGTCGGGCGGCGTCTACGCCTCCCCTAACATGGCGGGATCCCGCCCCGGTGCCTTGATTGCCGGGTGCTGGGCTAGTCTGATGCGTGTCGGTGAGGCGGGTTACATCGCTTCGGCACACGAGATTGTTGGCGCCGCGCGTTCCATCGCTGAGGCTGTCCGCACCAACCCCTCCCTCTCCACAGACCTCCAAATCGTAGGCGAGCCCCTCGTCAGCGTCGTCGCAGTGCGCAGTTCCACCCTCGACATCTACGACATCGCCGACGGCATGTCCGGGAAGGGGTGGCACCTGAACGCCCTCCAAAACCCGCCCGCCGTGCACATGGCCGTCACGCTACCCGTCGCAAAGGTGTGGCAGAAGTTTATTACCGACCTCGAGGCGGTGGTGGAGGCGGAGCGCGAGAAGGAGCGCGAGAGGGGGGTGAATGGACGGAAGAAGGGGGAGGCGAGGGGGGATAGTGCGGCGCTTTATGGGGTTGCGGGGAGCTTGCCGAATAAGAGTGTTGTGGTGGAGTTGGCGGGGGGTTTTTTGGATACGCTTTATAAGGCGTAGATGTGAGGAAGAGGAGGGGTGTATATACGTATGTGGGGAGGGAGGCGTTGTAAGGTATTACTATAGTGTAGGCGTGCCCGATGGGCGAGAGATACACAAGGAAATATTCATTCATTTATTAGTTCAGTCTCTATCCATCCCCCGTTTACGCACGTCACAAATCACAACGCGTGCATTTCTCAAATCCAAATATTTAAACAATCATGATCTTTATTTCTCTACCCTCCAACAAATCTTCCAAACAGGGGCGAATACCCCACCCATCTCTACCACCTCCTCTGGTCTCGCCTTCCAGGAAACCAATGCTATGCAAAAAGAAAACCACGGCGCAGGCGTACGAGATCCCACGTATATGTTACAACCAACCCCCCCGACCTGCCTTGACGCGCCATACACCCACCGTGCCCTCGTGAGCAATGAAATAGCCGCTCAAAGAAATGTCCCTCCTCCTTATCATGCCCCCCTCGTGGCAAAATGTATATTCTATCCCTTCCCATTCCACCTATGATGCATGCACCACCAATCCCCCATCGCTAGTAAAACCGCTTCGAAATAGAAGGTTTTGTATTTTTTTCGTCTCCATTTGAAGATTTCTTCATTTATGTGCAAACACACGCACACACCCCCCTCGCCATTTTCACCCTCACCAGTAGATTTATTGTTCTCAGGGGGGAGAGGAACGGACGCGTCGGCTCATTCCAGCACGACCGCATCACGACACCAACTCCAGCAGCGGCAGCAGGACAAGAAGGGGACTACAGAAACAAGCACAAGCCGCCAGTATCCCCCCCCACTTCCCCGCCAGCAGCGCTCTCACACCTCCCCCCCCCGTCCAAAAAAACCACTCCGCCCCGCCGAGGACTCGCCCTCGTTCACCATGCTCTCCGCGTCGCCGACCTGCTTGCGCGTCGTCACTTCGCGTCGGGCACGGGGGTTCTTGAGGTGCATCTGCTTGTAGCGCATGTCTAGGGTCAGGTTGCCCGAGCTGCTGTGGTGGCGGGAGCGGGAGGGACCGCCGGTCTCGAGGGGGGGGGTTGGTTGTCACTGGAGGGGTTCGGAGGAGGAGGATAGGCGGTTGAGATGGAGGTAGACGTCTGTGCCGTAACTAGGAGTTTGTTAGTGCGGTTTTGGGATGGGTGGAAAGGAGGAAGAACTTACCCCTCCATACTGATCAACTTAAGATCCCCTCCGAAATACCTCGCGTACAATCTCGATATCGGTAATCCGTATCCGAAACCGGCCATTGGCGCCTTGAAATCGCTCTTGTCAAAGTCTGGGTCTAGACTTGGCGTTGAGTCGACGGTGGTGTACATGTATGTCCACACGAGCGGGATAGCACTACGTGGGATGCCACCGCCCTCGTCGGAGATCTTGATAGTAATGTCCTCTTTCCCCTCAGCAACCACCACCTTCGTGATGGGGAACTCCTCCTTATCCTGCCCGTGCGTCTCGACGACCGCGCGAAGCGAGTTCTTCAGCGTCTCGAAGAGCATATGCGACAAGTGCCCCGGGACGTACATGAAGTTCAAGTCCGGCGGGCACACGAGCTGAACCTTGGGCGCGTCAAAGAGGCCGTAGAAGTCCTCGCACACGAAGCGCGCATTCTCAATGGCCTCTTGGGCTAGGTCGCGCACATTGGTCTTAGTGCAGATTATGCCCACGTAGTTGGGGTCCTTGTTGTGGTTCTGGTCCGTCAACGCTATGTGCTGACCGATCAGCATACGGATTCCGATGCGCGACATGTAAAATCGGTCCAAGAATGCTTGGATGTTATGGTCGATCTGCATGCGTTGCCGCTTGCGTTTGTACTCGAGGATGCCCTGGGCGACGGTTGTGACGACGCCATCGTGCCGCCTCTTGATCGTGTTGAGCGTCTCGGCGAAGCGCTTGTTGTAGTCGAATAGCTCAGGTGGCCAGTCGCCTGTATCTTCTACTGTCGCGAAATAGCGGCGCGAGAAGCCCTTCTTGCCCTCCCCGTTGCCATTACCGTTTTCGTTGGGCCAGTAGGCCGACGTGTACTTTCCCTTGGGCACACTAGGATTGTACGTCGTTTCCGAGATGATTTTAGAGTGCTTGGCATTGAACTTGTTCGGCCTCATGAGGCGCTCCTTGACCTCTTTCGAGAGTTCCGGCCTGGGAAGTGCTGTGATTTCCTGTCGTGCCGTCAGTATATGACTCAACCTACAACCCCCCCAAATAGTAACCTTTCATACCTCAAATGACTGCGCATACCAATCCTTCACCCTCTGTATCGAGGTCATCTCATTTAACCCATCTGGTAAGTCGGACAGCTCCTGCACCCTATGCGCAAGCCGTATGGGTAGCTCTTCCGAGAGGAATTGTGACGCGCGGAAGAGGGTTCCTGGGGATTCAGCGTTAGTAAGGCGCGTTTGGCTTTGGCTTCAGGTGGTGGAACATACCGACAGAAGGCCTCTCCCCAAACTGTACCATCTGGCGCAAGCTTACGCCGGTGGCAGGGAAGGCTGAGTAGTGCTTGATGGTCTCCATCAAGCGGTCCGACTTCTTCCACGACATATTCGCTGCTGGTTTTAGGGCCCTCGGGCCACTGCGCAATGAGTTTTGTTCAGCTGGACGTCTCCGTGATGACTGTCGCGCGCGTCGTGACTTGTATTTACACGTAAATGTAGTTGAGTATGTTGCGAGGCTGCTGGGGGCGAGATGTGAGGGCGAATGGAGGGCAAAAGGCTGGCGAGTGCCGAGGCTAATTGAGGGCCGGTAGTTTATCGTAGCCAATTAAGCTCCAGAGAAAGGAATTGGCGAGCGGATCTTTGGAGTCACGAGGGGAACAGTCGTAAGTCCAAAGCAACAATGTAAAGGAGCGGCGGAGAGAAGTGAGGATTGAGAATATAGAAGCGGTGCACGAAGTCAAGACAGGTGAGTCGTGTGCCTTTTTTCTCGTTCCCGGCGGGATGGGTTGGAGTCACCTTAGGTAAGTAGTCTCGTAATATGTGGTAGCGGCGGGCGGTTGTTGATTTACCGAGTGACCTTGTCAGAGGCGGGGCGAAAAGTGGTAAACAGTGGAAGAGAAGAGCTTCGTTACAGGCCGCTACAGGTGTCTCCCAGTGTCGCTACTCCGTTATAGGTAGTCCCGAGGATGGATTGCGGAGGAAGTGGATATGAGGCAGCGAAAAGTATCCGGAGCAGAATGGGGGGAGAATGAGGAGAAAGGCGCAGAAGTCGGGGAAGAGGGACGAGGGACGAGAAGGGTCGAGAGAGGTCGAGAGGCGCCAAGGGACCTTTCCCCAGACTGTTTATGGCCTTATTCCGTATGATTGACTGGGAGGGGTTTAGTTTGATGCTGGTGGTGATACTGGTGCTGCACTATAGTAGAGAATATCATATTAGTAGGGATTGTATGGTATGATGGCATGGAGGGCTTGCCATACTTACCTGTCTTGGGTAGTACTGCAACGGCTGCCGTTGGCTATGCGGCGATCCTGTCGATGGGTGTATGGATGTCGCTGGCTTGTTTCCTCCATTACCCGGCCAGTCAGAGTCAGGGTGTTCACGGTCCGGTGCAGTGGAGGACAAAGTATCGAAGAGTTTCACAGTGACGGTGATAGAGGGGGAGGTGTATGGAACAGTATGGAGTAGTATGGGGCAGTGAGGACACGACTGAGACCGCGTTGTATGGGGTATTTCGTGGGGTATTGAAAGACAAGAGAGGGATATACAGCTCCAGATAGATGGATATATGGATGATAGATGATAGATGATGGGTTGATGGACAGATGGATATATGTATGAGGCTCAACTATGAAGAAAGAAGGAGAGGGATACGATGATTATAGAGGCTCTGCTGTCAGCTATCCTCCTTATCTCTAATCAATTAATTATCTCTTTTAACGTTAGAATTGATTATCTGCCTGTCTATTGATGACGACAGTTTTGTATCCCAGACATACCCAAACTCCTCATCGTGTAACTTTACACAGTCTGGTTGGAAGAAGAGTACTTGTGTACCTATGGCTGATGTACTTATTTCTCGCTTAGCTTCCCATCCCCATGCCCCTCATCGTCAGCATGTGATTTCTCGATTTCTCGATTTCTCGATTTTCTCGATTTAAGCATCCCCAAGCTCCCTTGGCCCCCATGATAATTGATGCCTCAGGCTCATATTATTACTAACAGTACGTACATACCTATCCAGTATCCTATTTGATGCTGCTGCCTCAGGCCCAAATTATATACAATAGTACGTACCTATTTGACGTTGCAGCCTCAGGCAACAATGACTTCATCGCTGACCCTGACACTAAGACATCCATCCCACTTCGCTCCGTTCACTGTACCTCACTGACCCAAACAGAGAAAGTGCCTAGCTGAAGGCTTCAATATTCTATAGCTCCCACCATTCCACCACGAAGACACTTCAGCTTTCAATATGGCTTCGTAAGTAGCCCTTCCTCTTCCACAACCCCCCCCTATGTTTTCATAAAACACAAGCTAATAAACCCCAAGCAACATCCTCTTCCTCCCCTTCCGCAAAGCCCACAGCCTCGTCCTATCCGATGCCATCAGGCAATATATCTCTGGCAAATATGACCAACATCCGGACATGTTCAAGCAGGACCTCGAGGTCATTGACAGTCTGCGCCGGGAAGCAATCAACGTCCGCGAACCCCATATTAGCGGTCTCAAGAAGATTGCTGCCTATGCCGCTCAGCTCGTGTGGATGGGCGGGAAGTTCCCTATAGATGTGAGTATTTTTTTGAGCGGGATAATTTATTTTATGGCTGGAATAATATATACTGATACTCTACTTCAATACAGATTGGCGCCGACTTCACATGGTTCCCCGCGCTAGGATATAACACGAAGCGCCCGATATCCCAGGACAACCTCAAGTTCGAGCTATGCAACGTCCTCTTCAACCTCGCGGCGCTCTACTCCCAACTTGCCGTCTCTGTCAACTTCAGCTCGCCCGATGGGTTGAAGTCTGCCGCGAACTACTTCTGCCTCGCCGCCGGGGTCATCTCACACATCAAGGACAAGGTTGTGCCAGAGCTGCGCACGGCGCCAGTCGAGGATATGGATATCGTGACACTGGAATCTTTACAGGAATTACTCCTCGCCCAGGGACAAGAGTGCTTCTGGCAGAAGGCCGTTATGGACGGGTATAAAGACTCGTCGATTGCGAAGCTTGCTGCGCGGGTCTCGGATCTATATAGCACGGCCGGAGACTGGGCAGTGCAGAGTGAGGCCATAAGCTCCGAGTGGATCCACCACATGGCCGCAAAGCACCACCACTTCGCCGCCGCGGCTCAGTACAGGCAGGCGTGCGATTGTCTCGAGAAGCGCAAGTACGGTGAGGAGGTGGCGCGGCTGCGGGACAGCATGCTCTGCGTCAACGACGCGCTGAAGGAGGCTCGCTACGTCAACAAGACTGTGCTGAGCGACCTGAACGGCCTCAAGAACAAGGTCTCCGAAGATCTCAAGCGCGCAGAGAAGGATAATGATATCATCTATCTCAACCCCGTACCGCCAAAATCCGAGCTCAAGACCCTCGAGCGCGCTGGCATGGTAGTAGCCCGTGTGCCCCCAGATGTCGCATCCCCTCTCGACCACCTCGGCGACAACGCCATGTTCGGCCCACCGCTATTCTCCAAACTCGTCCCCTTCGCCGTCCACCTCGCCGCCAGCATCTACGAAGAGCGCCGCGACCGTCTAGTCAGCACGCAACTCACCGGCCCCCTCTCCTCCCTAACCGCCTCAATCCACAGCACCCTCTCCGCCCTCTCCCTCCCCGGCTCCCTCCAAGCCCTTGAGAAGCCCCTCGGCATCCCCCCCGCCCTCCTCTCCCACGCCGAAGAACTCCGCCAATCCGATGCCATAGCCCGCCTTGACCGCTCCTTCGCCGACACCGCCAAGCTCAAGGCAACAGATACCGCTACCTTCGCCTCCGGCCGCGACGCCCTCCTCGCCGAGGAAGCCGAAGACGCCGCTCTCCGCGCTCGCTTCGGTACTCTCCGCTGGACCCGTCCTCCGTCCCGCGAAGCAGCGCCCAAACTCCACGCTCAGATCGCGGAAATCGAAAGCTACCTTGCCAGCGCCGCTGCGAGCGATGATCTCGTTCGCAACACTTACCGCAACCTCGCCCCTCTCCTCCGCATCCTCGCTGGCCCCGATCGCGGGCTCGCGGACTTCGTACCGGCGTCGCGCCGCGCTGTTATTCCGCCGAAACTCGAGGCTGAGGCGTCGGCGCTGCGTACTTGCCTCAATGATATTTCGCGCCTCGAGAGCAGGCGGCGGCGCAAGATTGAGGCGCTTCGCGAGGCAGCGAGGGGGGATGATGTGCATCCCGCCCTTTTGGCTGAGGCGGCGAGACTAGAGCGCGAGAGGCCCGATGTCACTATCGTAACAGCGCATTTCGAGGCCTTCTTCGATGCTAGGCTCGGGAGCAGATATGACTCCGAGATTGCGGCTGTTGCAGCCGAGGCGGAGGAGCAGGCTACTTTACTCCGTGCTGTTGAGCGCGCTAATGCGGATTTCGTGCGTGCGCGTCGTGGGGAGGGGGGTGGGGAGAGGGAGAAGGCGTTACAACAACTAGAGGGGGCGTGGGTGGGGTATAAAGACGTAGTTGCGAAGTTGGAGATGGGGAGGACGTTTTATAATGATCTCAGCCGGATTGTGGGCAGGTTCCGCGAGGAGGCGAGGGAGTTTGGGTATAGCCGACGGGCGGAGGCTGCGGGACTTGAGTCGTGAGTTTTTCTGTGTCCCTTTTGTTTTGAAGGGCTATGGCTAACGGGTTTCTAGGGATCTATCACTCCCACCTCTCTCTTCTTTATCGTTGCAGAACCAAGCACAGCAACAACAACAGCAACAACCCGCCTCACACGCCCCGTCACGAGCCCAGCAAGCAGAACCAATGCCCGCCCCCATCGCGACGCGCAACCCCGCGCCGCTACCACAACCCCAGCAGCAACAACAGCAGCAGCCTCCGCTCCCAGCAGGGCCTGTGGCAGGAATGTGGAACCCGGAGATGGGGATTCGTTTTGGCGGGTCGCCGGCCCCGCAGGGGGATGGGAAGAGACAGCAGCAGCCACAGGCTGGGGTGTGGGATCCGAGTGCGGGGTTGAGGTTTGGCTAGACTGCGGGAGGTAGCATAGGTTTAACAGATGGATTTTTTTGGGAGTTGGGTGTAGCGTTGCGGTTTTGGCGTATGGTTGTGCTTTTGTTGTGGGTTTTTGGGTGGAGTAGGAGAGTGGGAGGTGGGAGGAGAGCGTATATATCCCGATATCCTGATATACAGTATACATAACGTATTTCCCGTACGAGTGGCCCACCCGAACGAGTGGCCCACCAAAACACCAAAACGCGTCAATGTGACTATAGTCAACAATGCCACGA